CATCTTCCCACTTTCACTATGAAAGCACTGATGCACCGCATGATCTCTGTAGCACTCATCGGAGCAAGAAAACTGCAAATCATCCGGTCCGAGTGGTTTGCATTATTGATAGTTTATTGCGTATAGATGTTTGTGACCGTAGTTTTTAACTGTGTTGACGGATTATGTGCATCATATTCATTGTTCTGTTAGTGCAAGTAAACATCTTTTTGCAGTATTTGCACACAGTTTGTGTTTTGTTTCACGCACTACACCGCTGTCATTTTACTCTGCAGCCTCACCTCTTGCTCGCCACTGATGTGCAGGTAAAGCGAGTTTGCACCTGTAAACACAGCGCCCCCTCTGTTCAAACATGTATTGCGATTCATTCAACATCTTTACCGGTTCGTCACAGATTTTAATCAATTTTCAACTGGCTCACAGAGAATCGTTACATCCCTACCTAATAATTTTCATTTTATTAATAATTAAACAAAATGAATCTTTGTTAAAGCGGCAAACTTGATCATTTCTTGTGCTCAAATGATTTTAATTTGCTTTAAATCTTACAGTCGCGGGCCCTAAAAACACATCCAAGCAAAAGTCTCAGAGATTATGGTTAAAATTCAGTGACTCCACAAAATGTGTAGTCAACTGTGGTTCCTGGTTAATTATAACGCCAGCTTGACTATTGTGGATGTGCACATTGCGATATCAGTGCTGAAACAACATAATGTGCAGCCTTGATGTTTACTAACTTTTCTTCAGCAAAACCATGACATACTTATAGGCACAAGATGATAGGGTGTTATAATCTGCATCATAGACTTACTAAGAACTTTCTTGAAGGTTCTGCTGTATGTTCTTGGCCCATGTGAATCCAAACCCTTCTGTATTATTGGCTTTTCAGCAGACGGAAGTGCTTTTTTTGGTGGGGTGGGCAAATCTGAAGGTGATGGAGGCTTTACGTGGGGAACTTTATCCAGCGGCTGAAGACTGAAATGTAAACAAGACAACAATAGAATAAACACTGGATGCTCAAAATCGAGCGGAAATCAACTGTTTTTCGTTCTTTCTCACCTGGGTGCTTCCCTCTGTGGTTTGGGCCGTCCCTGGTGTGGAGGATGAGGTGGTGGGACTCGTGGAGGTCCAGCCCCCTGGTGCCTGCCATCTTGACCCTCACAGAGGCTGACATGCTGAGAGGATGGAGGTCTCCCCTGTTGGGGTCGGTCTGGAGAACAGTTGGATGGTGTGCCGTAGAGTTTGCTGAAAGGTCCATGTCGACGCTCACAATGCTTCTCAAACGCCTGAGGCTTCACCACCTGCCCACAGTGGCTGCAGACCACCAGGAAGAAGTTGTCGTGTGCTGGGCAGTGGCCATATATCGACATGTCTGTGAGTGGAACACAAGGCGTTTACTTGTAAAGTCATGATCCTATTGTTTTGTCATCTGTCAATCACAAGCCTACGTCAAAGTCTTCCTCACCCTCTTTCTTGAGAGTCATGGTTTCCATCCGTTTCTTCACATTTTTGCTGCACTCTTCCAGAGGGGGCCCTGAACAGCAGTGAAATAAACAGATCTTCAAAACAGGAAATGAAACACAATTTGGATGTTTGTTTTTAGATCAGCATTTCTCTGTAATTGAGACACTATGAGCGTGTTCACCCTTTGAGGGAGAAAACTACACAGTTCTTTTGAAAAACGTGGAACTAAAATGTAAATGATACCGTTTTAACAAAGTGCAGTAGGGTATTGGAACATATAGTCATAAAGATAAATTTACAACCTTACAATTTAAAATTTTCACTGCAGAAAACTCGCAAAGAGCTCATAAAATGATTTAAGGAATCAAAACATTTACAGAAATTCCTCTGATGTACATTTTGTGACATCATATCCTGTTGTTTAGTTTAGAGGCCTTTCAGTCGAACTCTTTGAGGGTCGACCCATATATTAAAGCAAATAAAGCAAACAATTAATAGCGATTTAAAAGTCATGTAAATTTGAAAATTCAAGATATTTTATTGGTTGGTTGAGAGAATAAATTCAGAAATTCTAAAATGTTTTGGCTGTAATGGTTCGGTGTTAGAATTCTTGACTTATAATTGCAGTTAGTGGACTTCTTAAAAAAATAGCTATAATTAATAAATAAATAAAAGCTAATATCAAACAGAATATACTGTAGATATTAGGGATGCTCTGATCAGGATTTTTGCAGTCGATACGGAGTAAACTGTCATTGTGAGATTCCTTGTCATTGTGATCAACCGATACCAAGTACCGATTCTGATGCTTCAAACTTTATATAACTTTGCCATTGCTTTAGCACATTTTCCCTCTATGTACGAGATCTCTCCTTACTTAAGAGAATAAATTAAGGATTTTGCATACATGTAATGGTCAGAATCAGCTTCACCAAAAAATAATATATAAAACAGATAGAAAAAAAAGTTGTAAAACAAATTACTGACAATGCAATTTAGAAACACATTGCTCATGTATTGTAGCACTGTGGATTTTTAACCTGGCATGTAAACTCATAAACAAACACTTGTGATCGGTTTATGATATCAGCCAGATTGTGGAGTACCAATCGAATCGTGAAATGTGATTATCAGTTGATACTGATCTACGGATGATCAATTGGAGCATCCCTAGTTTATATAAAGTTACAATTTTTGAAATCATGAAACATTTTTATATTACATATTTACTAAAATGTAATCCAAATAAATATAAAAATAATCTTTATAATAAAATCACTATACATTTTATTATTTGATTTAAAAAAATAACACAAAGATTCAATTTATTGCTGGCAGTGCAGAGGATGAATGTATGGTGTGTAGGGGTTTTCGAAGTCAGATAACAATGATGAAAGAAAGAAGGTGTGAAATGAAACTTGTGAGTAAAATGGAAAAAGATATTTGGCAAAGAGATGAACACTGCGGTGGAAAACGTGAAGGTTTAGTGATGAATTTCAACCCACGAATGTGGTGCTGGTTTGCATGCTGCTGGCCTACACTTTTCCCATCGGTTTTTCACAAGACGACTAGCTCATGGCCGGGTCTTTCCTTCAGACCCTGGACCTGAGGTCTTCAAAGTTTGCAGAGTGCAGAAAATCCAGCAATCAAATGTCAGAGCAACAGTACTGAATGTTCCCATTTCTAATGGCCACAGCTCAATGCGTTCATTAATGTGGGTCATTTCCTGAATTACATAAACCATACACATGAAAACACCATGTTTTATTCAAAATCAGTTCCTCAGATGAACAGAGGGAAAGAGGCCATTTCAGTGTGCTATATATTTATGTAATATTTAAAGAAAAGTGAGAGCCGACGTTAGTTTGATGTGAAGATGCACATAGAGGCAGCGTTCATAGAGACTGCGAAATAAAACATCAGTCCAGCGTTTCAAACGGTCAAATAATGAGATTTTCGGCTCATAAACTGAACAATCATTAAACTGGGAGTCTGTAAATGTGTTGAGAGGTTTATTTCTGTTGATAGTTCTCTGGCCAGAGACTCGTCTCCACCTTCACTTCCCGTCGCGCTGACTGTCAGATCACCAACTCAGCCGCATCTTCTGCATTTAAGCCTCCAACAAGCACGACAACATTTATGACCAATTCAGTCACATCATCAAACCGTTTTCGAGACTGTACTTTTTTTAAGAAAGGGAATATTTATCGGCTTAACTGAGCGCTAGGACCTGGGAGATTTTCCAAAAGTCGAGCGTGTGGGACTGCAACCCATACGGCGCTAGGACCCGGCGGGGCCTTTGTTTGGGTCTTGGTGTCCGGGGTTTGCTCTTTTCAAACAAATCCATTTCCTGTGCCCACTCGACGCGATTGAAAATTGAAGTATCGAGAGCTCGATGGTATTTTACTTACCGTCCGGCGTGGATACGTTAGCTTTGTCGATCCAAGCGGCCCAGCTTTGCCCTACATAGTCAAGGATGGAAATCCGCCGATCCAGGGCAGCCATTACCGTTTTAGCGCGTGCACGATCCGCCACCATCACGACGGGAGCGCATCAAGACGTCATCTTGCGCGCTCACGGCGGATTACCTTCTAGCGACTAGGAGTCCGACTCATTTCTAAGAGTCGGTTCATTTTATATGTTCGATTTAAAGAATCGATTCACACAAACTTGTTCAGTGATTATTTTAAGTAGCAAACAATAGTGGCACATATTGTTTATATTTCTCTGTTTTAAACTTTACCATTTTGGATGTGCTCAAGTCATTTACAGTCCTTCCATTGAGGAAAAATAAATATGACAAAAGAAGAGTGTAAATTCGACTAGTTTGATTTTGTTTTTGCCATTAAAAGTGTCCCCAATGTTTTTTCCAATTTCACTGTAACGGTCAGATGTCACAGTTCTTCATCTTCAGTAAAATCACAGCAAAGCAATTAATCACAATAAAATGTTATGTTTACATGTACAAATCAAAGAAAAGTATAGATGCTAATAGAAACTCGAGCGATTTGACTTGTTACCGAAGCAAACAAAAAAAGCACAAAATCTGTCTGTAAAAATAAACAAATGTGATAAAAAATGTTTTGAATTGACAAGTGAGTTTAAAAAGCTACAATTGTTTACTCAAGATCTGTTTACTCAATTCAGTTCAATTCGATTCATGAACAAATCGTTCAAACAGGTTTATAAGTGATTCATTGAAAAGATCCGATTCAAAAGAGCAGTTCATCACAATGTTCGTGTCTGTACACATGAACTGCTGGAAATACCCATATAGGAAATACCCAATTTTCAGTTTATTACCTCATAAACACTGCATATAGAGTCATTTAAAACATCCTCATAAACCATTGGCATCAACAGTTTATTATAAATATATAGTGAACTATATTTTGTACATTCATAATTTTATAGAAATAGATGTTTCCCCTTATACGCAGTTTGCATGATTCAAATATAATTAGAAAATAATTTCCATTATGTAATTAGGAAATATATGCACACATGAGCCACAAATAAAACAATCCCTAATAATATCAAATGAAATTCTTTTTTATTAAAAAAAAAAAAAGCCTCCATCTTTGTTGAACACCTACACACACACACAAAACATTTTGGCAGATTTGATGTAAACATTTGTAAATATAAACTAAGTTATAAGGCACACACGTTTTAAAAAGGAAATTTTAATACAATGTGAAAGTAAACTGAGATGATATCTTATAAGGCAAACTACATGTACTAGGCCTGTCACAATAATCAATATATCGACTTATCGCACAACACATGGACATGACCTCAATCATTTTTGGTGATGCAATATATATCGGCCATACATAAAAAAACAATTCTAGCAGCATTTCAGCTGATTGTGCAACATCTCTTCTATATTAGAGGTGTCAGTGTGGTTTAAAAAGTATTTACTGTTAACTTCTTAGTAGACTTTCATAAACTGAAAATAGATCTGGTAGCAATTTATTTATTTATTTTATTTTTTTAGAATAAACATTTTCACATTCTGATTCCAAAGCCGATTTATTAAACTGTTAAAATGACTACAATTAAATTAAATCTTCATAAGAAAATAATATGATGTGTTCTTTGAAAGAGTGTACTTACATTGTGATGATATTATACTGTCATTCTGGCATTGCATAATGAGTGTCATAAAATAGTCTTAAAATGACGATAATATCGTTTATAACAATATGTTTTGGCGCAACATATTGTACAACAAACAGTAAATATCATGACAGGCCTACAAACTGCAATCAACTAAACACAACAGCAATGAGTATTGTGCAACCTAAACCGTTATAAAAAGGTGTATTATATCAACAGCAATTTCAAGTTAAATATCCAATTCAAAATATAATTCAGCAAACAATAGTCAAAAACATTTCATGTAACAAGTTGAAATGGAATCTGAAACATGACATTCATATAATACTGTAATGATGTTAATATCGTACAAAAAGATTTGGCTAGGCCTTGTACCTTCTGTAAATATGCAGCTTTGCTTTAATGTGGAACATCGAAATATCTGATGGTAATGGAAATATTCTAGGCGAAGACCTTTGGAACGTTTGTGACATCACATCAGGTAGACACTTCAGTGGACTGGGTGCAATGTAGCACACCACTTAAATACTGCAACAACACCTGCCTGATGAATGTGGATGTGACCTGCTGCTTCATTATTGCTGTCCTGCTCCTTCTTGTTGATTGGTTGTCCTGTGTAACGGTGTTTCCTTGTAAAGGAACCAGCAGTTTCCTCCCCACAGGATAAGGTTGAGGAATCCAAAGATCTAAACAGATATACACTTGTTATGTGCATCATTATTAACATCACTTGATTCATTTTGAATTAATCTGATCATTAAAAAAAACAAGTATTGGAAAAAAAAGTGTTGGTGCCATACATTGTATAATGGCATTTGGCCACTAGGTGACAGAATGGTACCATATATATGTGGCTTCACTGCATTGAGGAAGAGCGTTGGTAGAAGGCTGGCCCGGATTGGCTAACCGGGAGGACTGGGAGAATTCCCTGTGGGCTGGTCCATTTTTTGGCCGCGAGGACAGGTGTCCCTAGCTGCTTGCAATCTCAGCAGTCGCACTTTTTTCATTTGTTTATTTGTTTGACCATAGCCTCACTCTTTTTATTCATTATTTTGCTGCAGCTCCGCTCTTTTTATTTATTTTCTCGCAGCCCCATGAGCAAAATGCAACCTGCAGGTTAATGATGACGTAACTATCATTCAACCCCAAACAGCAGCACCTTAGTGAATATAAGAATTTGAATAATTAATATTAATGAATATTACACCTGCTCAATGAAAATCAGATGATTCACTACATTAATAAACCTGACATATCTTGATCAGCAATCTAAAAAGGCGAGAAAAAATTTGAGCCATCAATAGAAAGTAATACTGTGGTTAAGATTACAGTGCAATACTTATATTTTATTCCAAATGCACCGACATAACAGCGCCACTGTGGTTAATTTTTAGTCTTTAGACATATAATACTGTTTGGGTTACTTATATAGGTGTACATATTTTATTTATGTTTTTTTGTGTGACCACTGTTACAAAGGACTGGATATCTATAAAGAATTTTGCACAGAATATATATTCACATATTGCAGGAAAGCACATTGTGATGTTTTAAAGAATGTACGTCGGAGACTTAGCTATCCTTTAATGTTCTCATATTTATGAAAAACATTTGAAATTCTAAAGCAGCTGTTTCCTTGAAAAAGACGTGATAGTGTCATTAGTAACTGAATTGGAAATTGCGTTTTTTTAATATAGTCAGTAGTAAACTGAGGTAGGCCGGGTTGAAACTCCAGGGCTGAAATTGAGTCCCACTCCGGCCCTGGTAGGAGGCACAGATATTTGCAATTCACATATTATCCATCCTAAAAAAGTATTCAAAAATAGAATTAGTATGTCCCAAAGAATAGTATGTTGAAAAGGATATGCCAACGGTTTCCGGATGATTACTTTTTCCAGTAAAAACTTGAAGTGCTAACTGCAAATATTGCCCACAATACATAGCACATTGGACATGAATTTGATCAGAACTACTAACTTGAGTAAAAAAGTGTATATAAACTACAAACGTCAAGTAGAGAGGCTTCGTGAAGTTGTTTGAATGACTATTAATCAATACCTAGCCAACTGGAAAATATTTAAATAGCATTTTTCGTGTTATATTTGATCTGCAACAACAATGTGAACTTATATCAAGACATGTTTTACCCTAGGGGGCGCCCCTGGCAAGCAGCTGCTTTGTTTTTTATTTATTTATTTAAAAAGCGCATTAAAGCTGAGATACAACCTGAAAGTCAACAATAAAACACTTACTATCCCAATTATCAGCACTTTAAATAATTAAAATTATTTTACAGATTTATAATATGCTGTTGTTCTATTGTAATCATACCTGTCAACCCTCCCGTTTTTCCAGGGATTCCCGCGTATTTTACAATTCTATCCTGCTATCATCCTGTAAAGGTATTTTCCCATATTTTTCCTGTATTTTCAGTCTTTCTCTGAATGGTGGCAAATAAACAATAAAGAGCCGAGCCTCCCTATGCACAACCCATACAGCCGAACCACCAGGGGCCGCCCCTCGCTCTTAAATGTGAGTCTGTTCTGTACTTTCGCTGTGTTTAGGCAGGAAAACACTTTGAAAGAAATATAAAAACAGCGTGATTTCCTCTCCTTTTCATTACAGGTGCCGTCTCCTCTTCATATGCAATCCTCAAAATGCATGACTGTCAGCTGACGCGCTCCATATTGATAGATGCTGTTTCATAAAACGCATTCTGTACACGCGATGTGAAGCGGAGTGAAAGTCTGGGTTTTGGGTGCCTGTTTAAACAGACATATACACATAATTAATAACAGTAATATCTAAGGATGTCGATCTTGGTGGGTTTTTTATTTTTCAAACACAACTAATTTCGTCCTAAATGAGCATAAAAAGTTAGGAAAGCAATCAAATGTTTGCATTATAACGTTATATGTGTACACCTGTTATTTAATGTAATCAAAAAAATAATAATTTTTTTTTCTTTATTCCCTTATTATGGTGGGCATATCCTTTATTTTCACATTCCAATGTTGACAGGTTTGATTAGAATTTTCATTCCAAAATGGCCACCACGTGACACTAGCGGCATCTAGTGGCTGTTTCCCAAATCGCATTAGAGCGTCGCCTCTTGGTGATTCTATGCTCTTTGCCCAAAGCTTGCATACACTTCTATTAAACACTCAAAAGTAAGTATACTTTTCTTTTACAAAAAAGTACATACTTTTAGGACCTAGTACTGTATAAGTATGCGAATTGGAACGCAGCTACAGTTTTTGACCTTACGTGCCAAAGAGTAGCTTGCAATCAGGGCCGGAGTGGGACTCTTTTTCAGCCCTGGAGTTTCAAGCCTCAGACCGGCCCACCTCAGTTCACGAATGACTATATTAAAATAAGGACATTTCCAATTCAGTTTCTAATTACACTATCACATCTTTTTTTTTTTTTTTGAGAAAACAGCTGCTTTAGAACTTTAAATGTTCAACAACCCTAACTGTATTATATGTCTTAACAATAAAAATGATAAAAATAAAAAATAAATAACATACTCAGACAAGGATCAAACCCGGGTCAGCGGGGTCGCAATCTAACATGCTAAACACTAAACCACAATAGTTGATTTATACAAGGTGACTCATCTGAGTAATATCATCATTAACCTGCAGGCTGGTTATATATGAAAAGAGCAGAGCTGCTGTAAAATAATGAATAAAAAGACTGTGGTAAATAAATAAATAAATAAATAAATAAATTTAAAAAGTGTGACTGCCGAGAGCAACAGATTCTGGAGCTAGGGACACCTGCCCTCGCAGCCAAAAAATGGACCGGCCCACCGGGAAATCTCCCGGTCCTCCCGATTAGCCAATCCGGGCCTGCTTGCAATACAGATGATTGAATCCTGTTGTTTAGGAAATTAAATAAAGATGTTTTATTTACATCTATTTTGCCTACGGCCCAATCCCAATTCTATTTTTGTAACACTTAAAAGTGTATTTTGGATCTTTTCTTTCTATTATACTGGAAAAGCTTTTTGCCTGCATTGTCTTGCTCTAAAATGAATCAGTATAATATCCACTCAATCACAGCCAGAACATATATATTGAGGAGAATGATAAAAAAACATCTGGCAAACCAGGATGAATCAAATCAATCAGTCAATTCAATCCTCTGTGCGCTTCACAAGTTGAATATATTGCTCATTATAATCCTCTTACCACTGAGGAATTGAGGCGGCCCATCAGCGGCGTGTGTCCTGCAGTGCACTTGTTCAATTCTTGCCTACACACTTCATTTAGGGACACAAGTGAATTTGGACTGGTTGCCCATTTGACATCAGTGAGGCCTTTTCCCCAGGCAGAGGAACAAACCAGCCAGATGAATGTGAAGATCGCAGTTACCAGTAGATCCTAAAAAAATGTACACCATTAAATACAGAGATATATGTACAGATAGATACATATTTAATTTAATTGACCAGGTTCTTTTATCCATGCACTAATGTTTTATATTAAGAACTGGCATGTGCTTATATTAACCTCAGGGCACTTCAAACTTTAACAGACTTTAACAGTTGCAGCTGTTGTCAGAAAAACCCAGCCCTCTGTTTCCTCATTTACACACAAGTGAAACTCTTCACACTCCCACACGGTTCAAAAACAGCTCACAAATGATCATCCAGCAAACAAGTAATGCTGAAATCCAGCATAATACTGAAAAGGCTATTGTTAAAATAGGCCAGGAAGACATCAGTATCAATTAACTTAACTTATTACAGTATTTATTATTGAATGAAGGGGTTGACTTTTGTTTGTTTTTTCTTCTGTTCAAATTAATATCTTAAGTTATTTGAAGAGAAACATATTTTTCTAAAAGATATTTTTTAAATATTAAATATATAAAAAATGCTTTTCTTCAGAATCCATATAATTCATATTATTCAGACTTTTAAAAGATATAAATAGCCCCCTTTGATTTTTTTTCATGAATGAATGAATGAATTAACATTTCCCAAATGATGTTTAACAGAGCAGAGAATTTTTCACACTATGTCTGATAATATTTTTTCTTCTGGAGAAAGTCTTAATTGATTTATCTTGGTTAGAATAAAAGCAGTTTTAATTTTTTTTTTAAAAGTCATTTTAAGGTCAAAATTATTCGCCCCAGAACAACAGAACAAGCCATATACAATGATTTAAATTGATTATTGATTACACAATGATTTTAACTGATTATTGAATTACCCTAACATGCCTAGTTAACCTAATTAACCTAGTTAAGCCTTTAAATTGCCCTTTAAGCTGAATACTAGTATCTTTAGAAATATCTAGAAAAATATTATTTACTGTCATCATGGCAAAGATAAAAACAAATATTTTCTTTTATTTAATTTGAAATTAGTTAATAAAATTATTATGTATAGAAACGTGTTGAATGTTTTTTTCCCCAGTGTATATATATATATATATATATATATATATATATATATATATATATATATATATATATATATATATATATATATATATAAATTCATTTTCGTTTTGGCTTAGTCCCTATATTAATCTGGGGGCACCACAGCGAAATGAACCGCCGACTTATCCAGCACATGTTTTACGCAGCATATGCCCTTCCAGCTGCAACCCATCTCTGGGAAACTATTGTAAAACATTTGTAAAACTTGCTATATTTATGTCTACTTTCTCCCATATCTAAAACACTTTTGGGATGAATAAGTTTACATAGTCACAAACCATGAAACACTGATCCCTTGGTTGAAAGTTTTGCAAATGTAAAATTGATAAATATGTAAAAAAAAATTTAAAAAATGCAATAACATTATAGTTTTTGTGTTGGTTATGATTAATTTTACATTTCAAATATTTTCTTAACCTTTAACAAAGGTATAAACCAGCCAAGGGTGGCACAGTGGCTCAGCGGTTTGCACTGTTGCCTCACAGCAAGAAGGTCGCTGGTTTGATTCCTGGCTGGGTTGTGCCTAGTTCCGACTGCATGATTTTATCCCCAATTTTGACTTAGCTACAGGTTTTGAGATATCGCTAACAAATGCCCAAAATCGCAGGCAAATCCGCGCCCGTTCATATGAGTAACAATCACACAGTATGAACAATAAAAGATGCAGTCTGCGAGAATCACCAATGAGTCACCAACGCCCATGAGATATTGGATATACCTGCAGGCCAGTGGAAGGTTGGGAGAGAAGTTAAAAGCGCTCATTTATGGTCTACTTTGACCCAAACAAATGGAGGAAAAACTAGTGGAAATTTAATAATTGGCATTTCTTTGTGGAGTTTGCATGTTCTCCACGTGTTCGTGTGGGTTTCCTCCGAGTGCTCCGGTTTCCCCCCCAGTCCAAAGACATGCGGTACAGTTGAATTGAACAAACTAAATAGGCTGTAGTGTATGTGTGTAAATGAGAGAGTGTATGGGTGTTTCCCAGTACTGGGTTGCAGCTGGAAGAGCTGTGTAAAACATATGCTGGATAAGTTGGCAGTTCATTCCGCTGTAGCGACCCCTGATGAATAAAGGCACTAAGCCGAAGGAAAATGAATGAATGAATAAACCAGTAAAACACTGTAACATTTAAAAAAATCTAATTCTAATTTTCTGATTGATACAATCTGGTTGTAGTTTACAAAAATTAGGTTATGACTGTTTCATAAAGCAATGATAATTCGGGTTTAAACAGATCTGAAATGTGAAATTAGTACACAGATTTAAAAAGCATTATGAGCATTAAAAGGATGCAAGAACATAGAGGCGGTTACAACACTTAAAATAGCTACAGTGTGAACTTTATCCTAAACACTCACAATGTAGGGACCTCGAGGAGATTGACGGTAGAGGTGCTGGTAACCCAGGTACAACACAAGAGTAGCTGTGCTGTACAGGAAGGCCAAAACTCCGACAGCAACAAAGAACTCAGCTGATGATGAATGGTCTCCGGTCAGCTGTCTGGTTCGAAAGGTTGTTGAATTGGCTTCGCAGGTTGGGACTTTGTAACTCTGCGTATTGAGCCTTTTAAACAAAAAAAATTAAGGGGAATAAGAGAAGGCATAAAATAATAAATACAATGTAAAATAATATAAATACTATAGAATTTATCTTATATAAATAATATCAATTTAATCAAATATCTGAAAAACTCATTGTAATATGTATAATTCAGAATCATTTGCTTTTAGTGACCTGCAGCCTGCAATTTATTGCTCATGTTCACACTTTGCGTGATTCAAAGCCCTGATTCATTCACAGGAAAGTTTTTCATTGTTTTATTGAAAGTAAAACGAATCTAGATGCATATATATATATATACCCCATTACAAGTAATGCAAGTTACATAACAATATTACTTTTCTACATAAGTAATAAAATGCTTTTAAAAGATAAGTAATAATATTTGAGTTCCTTTTTTTAATGTAATGTGACTTCATTTTTATTTTAATTAACTATTTTTGAAAAAATTAAATTGCTGAATTAAAATTAACGTTGTCACATTGAATCCTATACTTAATAAGAGAATGAGCTTCCATGGGGAACAGATAGAAACAAAGATGGCAGGCTAGAGCATTACATTTCTGAGATGGAAGTATTCTTGTTATTTTAAACTCATCTAAGAAAGGGAAAAGTAAATTGTCTTATTGGACAGTGATTTTACTTCACTAATATGACAAAAAGTACAAAAGTAGCAAACACGTTGCTTTAAACTTAAGCTGTACATATGGTTTACACCTATAGAGTCGTCGGGTCATGGTACTTTTGCCATTGTTTGAAGACTGTGTAATGCATTTGTTTCACATGTCTGAGAGAAGCCCACAAACATCACATCCTTTTGATTGTCCTAAAAAAATTATCCAGAGTACTTTACATAAAAATCAGTCTACTCATGACCTAGGAAGTCATTCAAGATCTTTCTTTTTTAATTACATTACAGGCTGTCCACACAATGGCAGTGAAAACATAGAATTTTGAAAATTCTTATTAGAGACTCTTTAATGAGGTTTACCTAAAAGGGTAGCTGAAGGATGCATTTATTTCTTGGGTGACACTGCTGCCCTTGCAGACAATGTTGAAACTAGTAGAGCCAGAATAACCCCCAGTTGTGGCAAAAGCAAAAATGGCAAATATCTGAAAAACAGTGAAAGTGACAGATTGGAATGAATGAATTCAGTGAAAGAATACTGTATAAATGGTAAGCAAATAAAGCATGCATTAGGGCTGTGCATTCTAAAGCTCTCTAAACTTTTGTCAGATTTCATGGACTGAACCCCCTGAATGTTATGTACTTTCTTTTGTATTATTCATTCATTCATTTTCTTTTCGACTTAGTCCCTTTATTATTCCGGGGTCGCCACAGTGGAATGAACCACCAACTTATCCAGCATGTTTTTATGCAGCGGATGCCCTTCCAGCCGCAACCCATCTCTGGGAAACATCCACACACACTCATTCACTCTCATATACTACGGACAATTTTGCTACCCAATTCACCTGTACCGCATGTCTTTGGACAGCGGGGCAAACCGGAGCACCTGGAGGAAACCCACACGAACGCACGGAGAGAACATGCATGCTCCACACAGAAACGCCTACTGACCCAGCTGAGGCTCGAACCAGCGACCTTCTTGCTGTGAGGCGACAGCACTACCTACTGCGCCACCCTCTTTTGTATTATTTAAGGTTTATTTATGTTATTATTATTATTATTATTATTATTATGTACTATTTTGTTTATTACATGCTGCTTGGATATAATGCTATATATGTTTAACAATGGAAGTTGAAAACGCCTGTTTGTTATTGTCTTGGAAACATACATATGCAGATTGTACATGAGGGCGCCCTATAGTATCTAGTATGAATGAAACAGAAATAACATTTCAAACTCTGCCTGCCCACTGTCCTGTTTATGTCTAACCTTCTGCAGCACATCTGCTTATGCATTTTATTTGATTCAAATGTTATTGCTTAAAAATGGTGTAACAATAAAATTGTTGAGGATCAACGTTTTCAGATGCCCGATGATTATAAAAGAAAATTAATTTCTGAAGTATGTGCAAAACTAAACCAGATTAGCTTGTTTTCCTCCAAAATAAATATCTGAACATCAGAGTGTGTAGAGGACACATACAAGTCCAGTCATGTGATCATGTGTTCGGAGGCAGTTATGGCTGATGTTTGTTGTATAATTATTTCTGCAAACTCATTTTAATAATGCATTTAAACTCCATATATTTTGTAAATGTAGTGGATTCCTGTTTTATGTGAATTTTGGCGTTTTCATTAAATATTTTTTTCTTACACTATATCTTAAAATGGTTATGAAAACAAGGGAGTGGAGAAAGACCCCTCCTCCCGCCAAACACTGCAACGCCTGAGGTGGTGGAGGCCCTTACCACAAAAATAGTTCAGGTTTGCCACTGTAACAGCAATAGCATGCATACTTATATAGTACTAAGCCGGTTATATAAAAATACAGCTAACTTTATAGTAGTAAGTTGTTTGTTCCAAAGGTATCTGAATGAACATCAAAAGCCTAATTGCTTTCTGCTTCCTTTTATTTGATGCCATTCATTTTAGAGAGGAAATGGTGTGTTTCAAACAACCTCAGAGGCGGTATTATGGTAATAACATCTGATGCTTATCTTGTAAATAAGGAACATGATGTTGACATTGTGAACATTTTGTATTAAATTACGTCATTATATGGTTATTAACTTAATAAGTAGTAAATGAATGAGCTACAATTCAAACATAGGCCAAACAGTACTGAAAGGAATTTACAACGTACAGTATTTGTTTATGGAAATTTTATCTTGAACTTTATTCATTTTTAAGAACAAACTATAAACACTTAAACTTTGACTTCAAGTCAAATATTTAACACCATTAGCAACAATAATAATGTGTGATTAATATTTTTTTATATCATGTGATGATGTAACTTTAGGCTAAACAAATGCTATTAATTGAACAGCACGTACCCATTCCAGCACACGTATAAATCCCAGTGGTTCTTTCAAAGGGCTCAGGTCCAGTTGAAACCCGTTCATTGTGTTCTGGAAATAAAGCATCAACAAACCGTTACAACTGTAGAAAACGCGGAAACACTAAAGCACTAAACACCCGGAAATATGTGAAATGCGGCTCAATTTATATCGGATTTCTTTTCTTTTCTTTTCACAAGTTTATCAAGTCTGTAGAAAATGCAGCATTTATCTTGAGCGAAATCAAGTATGTAAAGCAGAAAGCGAGCCGTGTTATGTTGTATTACAGTAAAATAAGTCAAATTCAGAAAGCTTACCTTGTGTAGTCACCAGACAAATACCAAAAAGTTGTCAAAGTTCCTCTCCCCTTTCTTGTTTCAGCTTTAGACATGGTTTTGAGCACGTGATTGGTGACGTGATTCGTCCGGGGCTCAGACAAACCGGGGCTTATGATGATGAGCTCACGATGCAGTTCTAGATGGATGGTAGCTAAATGATTACATTTAACCTTAAAGAAACGATTTGGATCAGACTTTGATACAGAATGCTCCTTTTTGTCAGAATAACGCTGAAACTCTTTCTCACTTATTTTAATCATGCAACTACGTGTTCCAATTTTGGCAAGATGTTAATTTATTTATCTGAATTCTCAAATATTACTCACAGAATTTTTCTGACTCCAAAAGTAATATTTTTCATATAAACATTTTAATGTCTGATTTACAATTAATCTTTTTCATTTTATGCAGATTTTTCATTAATTAATGCAAATGTTCAAGTTGCAAGATTTTATTTATAGCATTTATATAAGATTAAAAATTGCTTACAATTCCAGAGTCACTTAACAAGAAAGTACTTCTTCACTTCCAATTTTTTCTAGGTTATCTGATCTGAGGATAGATATATAATAGATTCTATATATATATATATATATATATACTCAGATCAGATAACCTATTGATATTTCTTTGTTTTTAGTTTGATTTCTGTTGTTTTTTCTGCCTTTCTGTTATACAACAAATGGTAAAAAAAAAAAAAGGAAAATAAAAAGATTACATTTAACCTGGATAATGTACAACTTGAAATTAGATGATATCACATTTTAAAATGCTTAAATTATACAAATATACTATTGACACAATGACCGTAAATAATTTCTTTTGAAGATTTTACTCTCTAAGATGTTTACGTGTGTCAAGGCAAATTATTATAGAACATTGATGATTTAAATTACCTTTTACATCTTGTGTTTTGAGTTAGTAAGCTTTTGTATTGAAAAGAATGCATGTTTTGTCAAAGGTAATCTATAAATGTATGCAAAAGCAGAGTCGATGAATACATATTATTATACTTATGTTTATTATCATTATTATTAAACTAGGCTATTAATATTACATATTATATACACTCTAAAAAATTTTAAGTCAGTACAACAACAAAAAACAATCCTTATTTGCTTATTATATATATATATATATATATATATATATATATATATATATATATATATATATATATATATATATATATATATATATATATATAATAAAATTTCTGTTTATCATTTTTGGAGTTAAAAATTATGTATAATGAATAAATGTTTATATGTTTTTGTACAAACTTACGCATACATGATGCCAGCTTTTAGTGACATTTCTGCGATAATTTCAAAAAGACACATGTAAAATACAAAAATACTATATAAGAATACAAATTTTAAAATGATTGACAGCATTCAACGTTGTTGTAGTATGGCCATAAGAGGACGCTATTATCAAAGTTTTTAATAATAAAAAAATAATCAGCAATCTTTTGTAAATGCTCAATTATTTTTCTTGTCTTTTATCAACGTTTATTTATCTTCCTTGCCAGATGCCAGTAGCAAGTATGCAAATTTTAAGCAAAGAAAATGAAAAAAAAAAAGTACAACTTGTATGTTTGGTTTGTTATGGCACCACACAATTAAATGTGTTTCCTTTGCATTGTGTAAACATCATTAACATACAGAGAATGGTGCAAAAGTAACACGTTCACATATATAAAGTTCCTTATTTAGCCTTAAAATCACAGCTGAGGGTAAAAAAGAACAGTCTGCCACCTGGAGAATCTAGAACGATCCACAAAGAGTGATAAAAGCTTTTTTTGTTTCCCACTTGCTCTCAATGGACAGGAGGAGCCCAAACATTATACAGTCACTTCTGAGGAATTCAGGTCACATCTTCTTTACTTGTATGACAGGTTTTCCCATGCATAATTTTCATGCATTGCAGAGTTAGTGAAATGCTTCACCGCAGACTCACTGGCCTGATATTAAGAATTATAATCTTGCTTGCAAAAGCAATGACGTCCATGCTGTGGTTTGCTTCTTTTGCAAATATTATCCATGGAGCGGACAGGATGAGAATCAATGGGAAGCATGTGGCTCCCGGCCAGCAGTGCAGATCTAGAATAAGCATGATGGCAGATCATAATTATAGGGCAATGATGGAAGTCACAATAAGCCTTTTTTTCTGTGTCACATGGTTTGTGATCATGGGATAGGCTATGCTAAACCATTCCAAAAATACACAAACACACACACAATATGCAGTAACAATAATGCAATTCACATAAAATAAACACAATGAAAAAAGAGTAAATGTCTAACTATACATTTAAACCGTTCAAAAGATCAAACATGTTTAAGAAAAAGAAACTAAGAAACTGACCTTTCACTTTGTTTCCAGAGTCATCTTATATAAGAATAAAATGGATTGAATCTGTGGGAAGATGCACTAAAATTGTTCATTATAATATGAGTCAGAGACACAGATAATACACAGTTATGATGTAGGCTGAACTGTGAAGTGCATCAGCAGATGCTTCTTTCTTCCATGATGCACTTTGGAAAGCTCCACCATCTTTTTACTATGATCTGACTGAGTCATGCATTGATATTTAGGCATATTAAATCATTAAGCTGTAAAGACACAAGCAGAAAGTATGTGCATTTGAAGTCGCTTATTCATCTTATAAAATGAAGAAGATCATGCATGGCTTCGGTCACATCATTTGAGACCTTCATTCATGCTTTAGTAAACTAAACTACACAGTTGTATCTTTCATTTCAACTAGATTAACCATAATGTCATGGGATGAAGAACATCACCTACACTCACTGGCCACTTTATTAGGTACTGTCCTTTCCAACCTAACCATCTCTAGGGTTTACAGAGAATGGTCAGAAAAAGAAAAATTATCCAGTCAGCAGCGGTTCTGTGGGTTCAAATGCCTTTTTGATGCCAGAGGTTGAAGGAAAATGGTCAGACTGGTTCCAGCTGATAGAAAGGCAACAGTAACTCAAATAGCCACTCATTACAACCAAAGTATGCAGAAGAGCATCTCTGAAAGCACAACACATAGAATCTCGAGGCAGATGGGCTTCAGCAGCAGAAGACCACACTGGGTGCCACTCCTGTCAGTAAGAACAGTAAAACTAAGGCTAAAATTCGCACAGGCTCACCAAAATTGGACAACAGAAGATTGAAAAAACATTGCCTGGTCTGATGAGTCTCGATTTCTGCTGCGACATTCGAATAGTAGGGTCAAAATTTGGTTTTAACAACATGAAAGCATTGATCCATCATGCCTTGTATCAGTGGTTCAGGCTGGTGGTGGTGGTGTAATGCTGTGGGGGATATTTTCTTAGGCACACTTTGGGCCCATTAGTACCAACTGAGCATTGTGTCAATGCCACAGTCTACCTGAGTATTGTTGCTACCCATGTCCAGCCCTTTATGACCACAGTGTACCCATCTTATGATGGCTACTTCCAGCAGGATAACGTACCATGTTATAAAGCACGAATCCTCTTAGACTGGTTTTTTGAACATGACAATGAGTTCACTTTACTCAAATGGCCTCCACAGTCACCAGTTCTCAATCCAAAAATTTGCAGCAGCTGCATGATTTTATCATGTCAATATGGACCAAAATCTCTGAGAAATATTTTCTGTAACTTGTTGAATCTATGCCACAAAGGATTAAGACAGTTCTGAAGGCAAATGGGGGTCCAACCCGGTACTAGTAAAGTGTATCTAATAAAGTGGTCGTGAGTGTATAACAAACCTTCTCATATTCCTTGTCACTCTGGCTCTCCATCCAGATACAGCCATCAACAAATTTCCTGAGTAGTTCAGTCATTAATTCAGGTAATCTTTTTTGACCAACTGACCTACCACATTGTAAGATAGCATGGCCATGCAACTATAAAACATAATAAAGACCAGGCCTTTACCCGTGGATATTCACTTTCCAGAAACTTTTCCTTGCTTGACCAAACATGATGATGAGATTCTTGAGAAATTACATAGAGAGCTCAAAACAGGCAGGCTACATCTAAATAAGTGGCTGTCAAATTATGGTACATGTTCCACTAGTGGTACGCGGGCTTCCTTCTGGTGGTACGCAGAGAAATTAAATATGTTATGTACATGCTACATATACTTCAAAATGTATGTATAGATGAACATGCCATACATGACATGTAGCCAGAGGTGTCCAAACTCTGTCCTGGAGGGCCGGTGTCCGGCTGAGTTTAACTCCAACTTGCTTTAACACACCTGCCAGGAAGTTTCTAGTATATCTAGTAAAGAGCTTGATGAGCTGGTTCAGCTGTGCTTGATTAGGGTTGGAACGAAACTCTCCAGGACACCGGCCCTCCAGGAGCAAGTTTGGACAACCCTGCACATAGTCTATATTTCTGAGGTAATCTGTCACATTTTTTTTAACTGTGCAGAGCTGTAGCTGCTTTACTGGGCCTACTACGCTACTGTATTTCAATACTGCTCATTTTGGTGCTAATTGGAGAGACAATTTTTTTTCTGAGGTGGTACTTAATGAAAAAAGTTTGAGAATCTCTGATCTAAACCAATCAATCAAAATCAATCAATCAATCCCTTTTAACATACTTCCCTAAATAATGTCTGAAACTTTGCATTGCTAGCACTTCTGGTGACTATTTACCCCTTTATAAGCAATCACTTGTATTCCTTACTTTGCTTTGAAAAAAAAGCATCTGATCCAGCCCATGAAACAACATGCACATTTTTAGCGTCTCATAAAGCTTTGTGAATTTTGGGGTTATTAAATTCTGAGTTTATTGCCGTATTGATTATTAATTTTAATTCATTTTCAATATGAAACGCACAATGCTGTCCGCTGAAGTGTGACGTGTCACACTAACTTGTCCACAAGGACTGAGGGAATCACAGAAACATGAATCCGCCTCCACTGACCAATCAGAAAAACGCCCCAGCCGCAGCAGCCAATCATGCAGGCTCTGCAAGGTGCATTCTATTCATCGTTATTTTTTTCGGGTTGCATGTATTTGAAGTGTTTTACACGAAAAACAGTCAAGGATACAATCCATTAGAGCAACTTGTCTGGTCTATGATTTTTCTGCTATTTTTGGAAATTGTCTAGATGAAGTAAAAAGGGCGTTGATTGTGCTCTCTGAGGAGGCAGCACTAATAATATAAGCAGCAGGGACCTTTCGCTGTCACAGGCAGTCTGTTTATGTTGAGAACGTCAGCAACCGCTCAGGAGCGAGACACTGAGGAATTAATGCGCATTTAACCAGCAACACAGTCCTGTTGGAAATATTCCGAAGACGAAAAATGAGAGGCCTAGGACACTTTATTGCACTTTTATTTTTTCCAATGGCATTTGGTGTGGATTTCCATGTGGATCCCGGATCCTCTAACGCGCACCCGCTGTATGCGAAGTCTCCGGTATCCGTCAGAAGTCTGCTCGGGACGGGATCGGATGCAGATTTTTCTCGGGTTCACCATCGCATCCATAAAAGAAGCACCGACCGTGGCTCAGACTCATGTAATGGGTTAACGTTAGAAGGATATGAGAGCAAGTTAACTAGCAATACGCACAACGTAAGTTCACTTGCACCAATGAGCGCAACCCTAAAACCTAGAGGGTCTTTCTCTAACTTAGACAGCACCCTAACTTGACATTTTTGCGAGATAACTGATAAATCTATATATGCATTCCTTGAAAATAGAACAAGTTATTTGATTTACGAACGGCTATTAACTCTAAACAGTAAACACTTATAGTGAGTAATTCAATATTGACAAGCTAGATTGTATAAATAGCATACAATCAATCACTATACTGGGCTGTATTAACTTCCTAATAAAGAAATAACAAAACAGAGCTTGCTATTGTTTTAGGAAGACGTGTTTAAATGTCTTTAAAACCTATTTAGATGTTGAAAAACTCATTTGTTTAGCTCAAACGCATTCACATTTCTTGCATTTTTGTGATGAATAGAAATATAAATAATGTGAAGTGTTTTAAAATGAGCCTTTCATTTTAAAAGGATGGTTTGATAAAAAAAAAAAAAAAAAAAAAAAAACTGGTTTAAGACGTGTAAGGTTAATTTTTTTTCGTGCCTTCTGTCTTGACCTCAGAATACGTTTCGTTTTTCATTATTATAATCACTTTAAAATGTTTATGGTTGTGTTTCATTGTGTACTTGACCAGTAGGTGCAGTCTGACTTGCAGCAGTTGTAGAACCAGTTAAACTGGTACAACCTGTTTAATTTTTTGTTCCTATGTATGCATCTTTATAATGCATTTAAATTTCTACCAAACCACTTTTCAAATCAAGCAAGTATAACTATTATTTTAAAATGGAACAGAACACATTTTGACATTATAGTCATTGTGATGACTTCCTTTTCTCGGAAATATCTTGTCATTGACCAAACATATTAAAGCGGTGTTTGAGGGCTGGTTCACACCTCACCTCTTTGAAACATCAGTTTGTTTTTACCTCACCAACTCTGTCTCTGACCAACTTCCTCTCCTTTTTAGTCACTTATGTGTCAACCTAGCTTCTGGGTTTCTGTAGAAAGCTATCTTAAATTTAAAAGAGGTGACATAAACAAAGCTGTGTTAATACACTGTAATTACACTGACCTTTTGGTCTTTATATAGTGTTTGGGTGTATGTTCAATTGTAGACTGACTTCAGAATCACTAGATGGGATTATAAGATTTAACTGTTATTTAAAGGGTCACAGACAGAGCGGTGCAAGAAAGTGGAAGTATTTTAGTCAGCATTCAGTTCAGATGCACTTTGGAAATCAAAAAGGAAAGTGCTTTGAATGAGAGTTTACAATTGACTTTTTAAGCAGAGTAATGGCACATTTGATTACACAAATGAGTTATCATGCTTAAATAACCTCTTTTGTTTAGGGAGGAGGGTTTTTTATGTAAAAAGTTTGAGAGCCACTCAACTAAAGGAAGAGGATTAAAAATAAAACACTGTTTTGATATGTCATCTTCAATTTCACATTTCCTTCCTATTTTTTCATTTGTATGATTTGCAGTATAGGGTAATGTTACTTTTATTTATATATTTATATTTTATATTTTTATATTATATATAATATAAAATATATATATATATATATATATATATATATATATATACATACATACATACATACATACATACAGACATATATATATATATATATATATATATATTTTTTTTTTTTTTTTTTTTTTTTTTTTTACATTTTTCAAAACAGTTCAGAACAAACAAACAAAACAACAACAACAACAAAAATTCAAATGAACATGGAAATAAAAAAGACACAATACAAGTGTCAAAGGTCACCAGATACAATCTTATTTGCAGTCGTATTTATGGTTAATAAAATGTTGCTATATAAAGTTTTTTAAGCGTTACGTATCAAAGATCAACTGGCTCCAGTAAATTCCCAGGTACATAGTTTTAAAATTACATTCCAGATTCAATCCCATTATTGCATTTTTCCCTTTATTCAAATCTTGCTAATACACTCAGAAATATACATTTTTGCTCGTTCAAACTACTTATTTAAAATGAGCTGAAATAACACAATTCTTGAGATTTCATTACGACAACCAATTGTTTTTATGTTCAATCCACATAAATTTGTTAAAAGTGTCAAGTTAACTTAATCAATTTGTGTTGGGACAACATGAATTAATTGTGTGAAACCCTGCATGTGTGTATAATAATACAATCCCAAAATATGTGGAAATTATCAGTCAATACATTTCCACATTTTCTCCAGCATTCACCATTTTTTTCATCTCTAGTTTGAAAGTATTTTATTTTAGGTGTCATAAAGAACCTGATTACATTTTTCCAAATAAATTCCCTCCTTGAATCTGTATTAATTGTGATCATCTGTGTTTCCCAAATGGTTAACCATTCTTCATTCGTTATAATTATATTGGCTTTCTTTGCCCATTTTTGTTTTATATTGTTGAGTGTTTCTTTGTTAGTGTCAGACAGGAATAAATTCTTGATACTAGTTTCTTATTAACCTTTTTTTGTAAGTATTTATAAATACCTGTACTACTGTTGTTTATTTGTCTTCCGAATCTCTTATGTTTTTATTGAAATAGTCTCTAACTTGGGTAATGTTACTTTTAAAATCTTAAACCTCTAAATCTTAATCTTTCAATAAAGCAAAAATAACATATTACCACATACTTTCACATTACTTTCTTTTAAATGAAACTAACACATTTAGTTACTTTTTCTAGAAATGACTTAAGATTAGGGCTGGGCGATATGGCAAAAATGCAATCTCAATAATTATTTTCCATATTGAACGATATATATATATATATAAGTTGTTAACAGTTCTAGACTTAAAAGAGTACCCCAACAATTACTGAGGCCACAAAAATTTGAGGGTTCATGGCATTACATATTTTTAGCCGATGAATTTTCGGTGGCCAAAAGTTTAGTGCATCTCTAACACCAACAAACTTCTGGATTTCCAGTGTTGCAAATTTATGCTATATAATTGACTCATAGATCAATATAGAGTAAAAAAAAAAAGTCCAGAGCTTATCATTGTTATTGACATAAATAATATTGCGATTCAATAAAATTATTGTTTATCGGTCCAGCCCTGCTTAAGATTGTAATATATTACTTTTAAAAGTAACGTTACCCAACACTGATGATCTGTCATATCTCATTTCAGTTTAATGGTAATAGTTGCTAAGCTTCTGATTTAGATTCAAGGATAACATGTGTTTTGCATGACAGTGTCCTTCTAGGAAATACTGAGCTTTTAAAATCCTTGTATTTTTCCATGATGTTGTTCCTTGTAGTTTTGGACACTTCCTGTCTTTGCTTTTGTATAATATTATTTAAAAATATGTTTTTTTCAGTGGACATTTCAAGATATTAGTGGATCTGTGTCTTTGGCCTGGGTTGGGGATGGAACTGGGGTAAGTTTCACTTTTATTTTTAAACTACTTTTATTGTTTCAGAACAAAATGTGATACACACATACTGTATGAGTAGTAACCAAATACTTATTTTATTAATAATTATAAAAAGGACAATTTTGTAAAAATAAAATGAAATTAAGACAATGACAGTTCAACACATATACAGTTGAAGTCAGAATTATTAGCCCCCCTTTGAGTTTTATATATATATATATATATATATATATATATATATATATATATATATATATATATATATATATATATATATATATATATATATATATATTCTAAATTATGTTAACAGAGCAAGGAAATTTTCACAGTATGTCTGATAATTTATTTTTTTCTTCTGGAGAAAGTATTATTTGCTTTATTTTGTATAGAATAAAAGCAGTTATTAATTTTTTTAAATCCATTTTAAGGACAAATTTATTAGCCCCTTAAAGCTTTTTTTCAATAATCTACAGAGCAAACCATCATTATACAAAACCTTGCCTAATTACCCTAACCTGTCTAGTAAACCTAATTAACCTAGTTAAGTGTTAAATGTCACTTTAAGCTGTATAGAAGTGTCTTGAAAAATATCTGGTAAAATATTATGTTCTGTCATCATGGCAAAGATGAAATAACTAACTTATTAGAAATGAGTTATTAAAACTATTGTTTAGAAATGTGTTGAAAAAAATATCTGTTAAACAGAAATTGTGAGAATAAACAGGGGGGCTAATAAAAATTTAGGGAGACCAATAATTCTGACTTCAACTGTACATTTCATTCAAAGTGAATAAATATAATAAAGTAAGTCAAAACAAATACAGTGCACACATTAACACAGTCAATTATAGTTAAATACTTACACAGTATGATCACATTGTTTGGGGTTACTAAACAGTCAGTCAATTCTTATCTAAAAAATGAAGGAAGAAGTCCCAAATCTTGTAAAATATGTGCATTTTGTGTTTGATTAAGTCAGTCTATCCATTCCTTTTCAAGAAGAAATTTCCTTAATCCAGAGTAACAAAGATGAATGAATACTTTTCCAAGTTTCACCTTTGATTTGTTTTATGGATACAGACTTATTATGGATTTGCCTTTCTGAGATAAAGTCTCTGAGAGAATTGCATTAATAATTCCATTCAAGGTTAGATAGGGACTTTTTTGGCTTTAGGTTTAAATTTAGATTGTCTAGAGTAATCTTGCAGAGCTCTCATGCTGTTTGCAGGGCTTACAAAGAAAAATAAACATGATTATCAATATAGCAAATGCAATCTCATGATCGGTTTGACCTCTCTCATGCCCCAGTGCACATTCAAGGTCATGTTAGATCATCTTTATTTTTACTTTGTTCTTGGCTGGTATCCTATACTGTTATGAAAACATTTTTTTTTTGTTTACAAATCTGATTAAATAGCAATTATTCTCCAGTCTTCAGTGTCACATGATCCCTCAAAAATTATTGTAATTATCAAAACATTGCTACTATTTGTTTTATTTATTTTTTTTCTAGATTTTTTACATTGATCTGACCTTTATGTGACATTTTGTTAATGCAGTGCATCCGGAAAGAATTGATAGCGCTTCACTTTTTCCATTTTTTTATGTTACAACCCTTTTCTTGAATAGATTAAATTCATTTATTTTCTCAAAATTCTACACACAATAACCCATAATGACAATGTGAAAAAAAATTGTTGCAAAAAATAATTTAAATCCTGAAAAATCACATATACATATGTATATATAAGTATATATTTTATTTTGAGAAACATTTTAAATATTTTGGAGCAGCAAACATATCAGGCTAAATAATTAAAATAAATCATTGACTTCTGCTGTCTTCAATAGTTTGAAAAACACAGATTTCTTTACAATTTGGAAATCTTTTCTGCTGGAGATACTGTTGTCCTAAAAAGAAAAAAAAAGAAAAAAAAACATTAATATAAAAATCTTACACATACTTTAGGAACAGTACTACAGAAAAATTTGGTGGTTTTAAAACCTTGACTTTTCCAAACCATGGTGTACCTTGAAAATGGTTATCGTCCCATGCTTACTTGGGAAGCGATGATGTACAGCCATTTTTAAATCTCTCCAGAGATGTTCAATAGGATTTAGTTCTGGGCTTTGGCTGGGCCACTCAAGGACATTCAAAGTTGTTGTGAAACCACTACATAGATTTTTTGGCGTTGTGCTGTGGGTCATTGTCCTGCTGGAAGATAAACTGTCTGAGGTCAAGAGCACTCTGAAGCAGGTTTTCATTCAGGATGTCTCTGTACATTGCTGCATTCGTCTTTCCCTCTATCCTGACTAGTCTTCCAGTTCCTGCTGCTGAAAAACATCTCCACAGCATGATGCTGCCACCAACATGCTTCACTTTAGGGATGATATTAGCCTAGAATTTTACAGGAAATAAATTAATTTAATCCATTTTAGAATAAGGCTGTAACATAAAAAATGTGGAAAAAGTTAAGCGCTATAAATACTTTCTGGATGCACTGTATATGGTATTGCAATCATTTTGCAATCATTTTAATGCAGCCTTGCTGAAAAGTATTACTGACACTAGACTTTTGAACTGCAAGTAGCAGGGCTTCCCGTACAGGCAGTTTTCCAATAATATATTGTGAGGATTTTTGTCTCAAGGTTAATAACCATCTCTTATGTGTCAATTCTAGGTAGTCCTGGCTTTGACAACATTTCAGATGCCATTAGTCTTTCTGCGATTTGGACAGTCCAAACTGTACAGGAGGTGAGTGCTAGTTTGAGCTTTTTCAAGTGCTCTTATTATTTTGTTTTAAATGCTACTTTTCCTCTAGTGTGTAGTAATATAGCTGTTTGCAGATGTAAAAAACCAAAGTGCAACACAAATAGAGCATCAGATTCTAAACTGCCTAAAACAAGACAATCAGTAATTTTGGTCTTGTTTCTCTTAGATTTGTACAGTTGTATATTGCTATTCAATGCTCTTCATTGGCGGGCCGCATACAATGTCTTCTCTTAAACACTGTAGTTGTAGCTAAGGCTTGGAAAATTCATTGTTGTTTAGCTGTGCTACAAAATTGAATCCATTTTACATGCAGTCCTAAGAATTGAGGACTTATAAATTGATGCAGTAAAACTTTCACTATTGTTAGTGTAGATATCACTCTGTTTACAAGTACTTATATATAGACACACACTAGACCAATCACAACACACTGGGCCATCTTAAAGTTCCTTTTAAGGAATGTCCATTCATTTGATCATATTTAAAAACCTTCTAAGAGCAAAGTCCTATCTAAATGAATAGAGAAATCCTGAAACCTCAAAAACTGCTTTCTGTCATTGTAGGTGAATTACACATTTCAAATCAGTAACAAAATCTAAACTAAAATATGTTTTGATAATGCTGGAGGACAAAAACGAAATTATGTTTAGTATTAATGACGATCATTTCTAGTTTGCTCCAGCTGCAGTTTTTGCGCAATGATTGGCAAGACACCAATCTCCTTTATGGCTTTTTCAATGGTAACCATTACAAACACTGGAATAATAGACACAGAACATGAGGCCGGATGACACTAGAGGAACACAAGATGGTGTGATAGTGTGATGATGTCTTTTCTCATGTTAAAATCAACACAAGCACAAAGCAGTCGCCAAACAACAGCGGTTACCCTAATGATCAAGCAAATCTGAACAAAATCAAGCTGTTTTCCCCAAAAACCTTGTTGCTATAATAAATGATGATTTGCTATTTTGACCAGAGGGCGGGAGTTCCTTCGATGTGGCGAGTTAGTTTGACGTTTGACGTTCATTAGACATTCGGTTTCAAACCAATTAAATTCTTTGCTGCTGTTATAGTTTGAGCCAAAAATGTGTCAGAAAGACACAAAAGTGTGCCGTTTATGTTGCACAAGGCTTAATTTCTTGATAAAATGTTTTTCCAATCGAATGAATTAAACAATTAAATCATATGAAATTATATGATAAAACTTTTCTCGAAAGAAAACTGGATACTTTTCAGCATTCATAGTAATACGAGACATTTCTATGTCTTTGTATATCTATAGTCTTTAGCCATCTAACCAATCAGAACTGGCTAGGGTCTCAGATAGGAGAGGTTTAGAGCTGTGTTTCTCTACCATGTTCCTGGAGGACCATCAGCTCTGCACATTTTCCATGTCTCCTTAACTAAACACACTTGATTCAGATCATCAGCTCATTAGCAGAGACTGAAAGACCTGAGTGTGTCAGACAAAACATGCAGTGTTGGTGCTCCTCCAGGAACATGGTTGAGAAATACTGATGTAATGAGATCAAATTCTTGATTGAACTATTTTGGACATTGTAAAAAAGCCTATATTATGTGTATTGTCACAGTAGTTATGTTTTATTTTGTAACTTTGGATTTACTTTCATAAAGTAGCATATTTTGAGGACTTTACCTAACTAGAAGTCTTTGTTTTCTTGTGACAGTGAAAACTATGGCAAGTCATTTGAGGATGTCTCAGAACTCATCAATAACACCTTCATCAATACTGACTTTGGGATTGCTATTGGTCCGGAAAACTCTGGCAAGGTGAGCAAAAATGCAAACAAACATTTGAGTAAGCTCCTCCATTGAAGCACACGTGGGCTGATGAGCTGAATCAGATCACATTAAAGGTGTTTCTCGAGTTGCTGAATTGGCCTGTAGACTCTTAAATGCTCCATGTCAATCACAGTGAGAAAAGACAAGCTGAACCTTCAGTTATTTTCTGATCTCAACTGTGCAAAAGCTCTTTAAAGCATCTCTGATTTTCTTCCCTTCAGGTGATTCTCACGGGAGATGCTTCGGGAGGCAGTGGTGCCAGAATTTTCCGTTCAAGAGACTTTGGCAAGAGTTTCGTCCACACAGAGCTGCCCTTTCACCCACTAATGCAGATAATGTACAACCCTCAAACTACTGATGTGCTTGCGGCTATCAGCACCAAGGTGAGAGGCTATATAATATTCGATAGCAGTTTATTTTACTGTCCTGATCCATATGTACATATTATGTCACAGTTATGCTATCAACTTCTTTACATCCTCCACTTGTTCCGAACATGTTTAAGTTCTTTTCTTCTGTTGAACACAAATTGAAAAGTCTGAAGAATGTTGGAGAAAAAAAAAACAGCCATTGACCTTCCATTGACTTCTCCATTGAGCCATTGACTTTCATGGTATTTTTTCTACTATTAATAAGTAGCTGACTTTGGGATTGCTAAATTGACTTTGGGATCTACCATGAATACTAATGGCTGTTTTTTTCACCCAACAGTGTTCAGAATAACTTGTTTTGTGTTCAGCAGAAGAAAATAATTCATAAAAGTTTAAACTCACTTCAGGCTCAATCCCAATTCTATTTTTGTACCCTTACCCCTTCTCCTTGGCCCAACAACCGAGAGTTAAGTAGAAGGGCTTCAAATTTTACTCCTAAGAATTGGGACAGCACTACAGCACCTGCACACATCATCAGATGTCATCGCCATCTCTTGCTTCAAATGAGATCAGACGATCGCGACTACTGTAGTGTTTCTACTTGTGTTATTTTTTAATATTTATCTTTAGGAGATCACTGAAGGCATTCTGTATATCATGTTATCATAATGATCTAATGTGGCAATAAGATCGTAACTGTACTGTGCATTTACACAGTGGCCATATTCATCATGTAAACACAGCAAAAACAACATTAACATCATAGCAGACACTGTAAACAGCTCATTCTCAGCCACTAAACTTTTCCGACAGTGTATTTCAGTGTCATCGAGTGTCAGAATGTTGTGGGACTGCTGTACAGGAGTTATTATTGGGGATTATAGACGGTGAATAGATCGTGAAATTTAGCAGTTTTTATTTCAGTGTTTTTTTAAAAAGCATGATGGTAAAACATAAACTTGGTTATGAATATATTAAAACGTGTTTGTTTGTTGTAAAAATTCATAATAATGACAAAAAGTCATTTCGAATGTGGTCCTGAAAAATCTTCGTTTGAAGGGATGTATACCCCTTACCCTTAGCCCTATGCCTTCAAGCTAAAGAGAATTGGGACACCACTACCCCTTTAAAACGGGGTAGGGCTGGATTTACACGAGAACAGCAAGCGAGTGAGTGAAATTAGAGATTGGGGGTCAAAAAATGTACACAGTGGCCTCTGGTGGATTCACGAAAAAAAAATGTGAAAAAAAAAAAAAACATACATCCTGGGACGTATTTGGCTCTCTCCAGAAATATATATAGTGGTACATTTTCAGGATGAGCCTGGGTTGGGAAATGTTAATTTTTTGTGAGAACTATCTCTTTAACCATATAGTAACTAGGTGCTAACCCTCTAAACCCAATCAAATCCACTGTAATTATCTTATTTTATCCAGTACTTTCTTCGGTAAGTGCTCTGTAACTTCATGTAAATAAATAATAGCATAAAATAAAATACAACCCTTTTTTCTGCTAATACTTTGGAGAACTAAACTTTAACGGAAGTCCACTACTTAAAATTTGATAATTTTTTTTAATTTAATTAAAGTGTACATCCTGGTTGTGTGATCTTTTCAAGGGATTCCAAAGGGTCTTAAAAAGTCTTAAAATGTCTTAAATTTCAAAAACAAAATTTTAGGCCTTAAAAAAGCTCTTTTTTATTTTTAAAGGGTCTTTATTTTCATTTGTTTATGCAAAGCTACCCAATCGATCCAACACACATCCAATAACCAACAATAAATATCAATAAAACCTTTAGCAAAACTACTTAGAACTAATATTGTAACAGTCTGATGTGCATACATTTAGTTTATTAAAATTGTATAAGACTTTTTGTTAATTATGTTGAAAAACTAGGGTTTGCTTGATTTGACTCTTCCCTGCAGGCACAGGACGTCAACTTGAAGTCATATTGACAGTGTACCATACCGTCGTGGGGACATTGGATTTTGTTTGGAAATGAAAATCGGGTTGACGTTAGAACCCAACGTCAGGCCAATGTCCAACCTAAAATCAACCAAAATATCAACGTCTTATCATGTTACACCTTGACGTTGTGTGGACGCTACCACTATGGTATCTATCAAAAGTTTGATTTTGGTCACTTTCAAACACATCCTAAAATCAACCAAATATAAATGTAATTTGATGTCGGTATTGGACATAATAATAATGTTGTCCTGTCAGCGCCGGTAGCCTAGTGGTACTGTGCACTGACATATAGCACCATTGTGCTCGTGGCGACCCGGGTTCGATTCCCGTCTTGAGGTCCTTTGCCGATCCTTTCCCTCTCTCTGCTCCCAGTGCTTTCCTGTCTGAATTCTCTACTGTCCTATCAAATAAATGTGAAAAAACCCTAAAATATAATAAAAAAAAAATTATGTTGTTCTCAAACGCTGGCTAGGTCACCTAACGTCTTGATCTAAATCTAACCTAAAATTAACGTCTTATGATGTTATGTGCCTGCTGGGTTGATGTGACACAAAAATGTGGCCAAGAAATAACTAATTAAAATTAGTTTCTTGATGGTAAATTATTTATTTTTCTGCTGGGGCATTATAGCGTTTAGCCCTGTTTAAGTCTGAAAATTTAATTCTCGATGGTTTTAAAAGGTCTTTAAAAGTCTTACATTTGACTTGGTGAAGCCCTGCTTTTACATTTTTACATATACATAAAAATACAATATTATTATGCATTTCAACTGGTGCATTTCTGCTTTTGAACATTTGCATAATTTCTAATTTTACTGCCGTTTCAGCATGACCTCTGGATCTCGAAAGACTTTGGCACAACATGGACAAAAATTCATGAGATGGTGTGCGTGGTGAAATGGTAAGATCTTTCAATGATTGTCAAAATACCTAGAAGTGAGCGAGTTAGTTATTTAGGAGCTTTGTGTTTGTGAAGACACAGGGTGGAGCACAGCCTCTTTTCTTTTTACATTTGACCAGCCTGTTTGGGAAGTTCTGGCTTGTCTTGTCACGGGTGTATATCCAGGACACAACAACACAAACATGCAAATATGGCCACCATGGCAGCAACACGAGACATTCTCTGCTGAGTCATCCTGTTTTTCCACAAGGCTCAGCTTTCAATGTCCGAAGACGCTCAGCTGCCCCAGATAAACGCCTGCATCAAACTTCACTTTAAATCTACTGTTAAAGTCTTGTGTTTTTACACTTCAACACAAAAGTAGTTATCTTTAAAAGCAAATTCATCCAGACTATCCATTTACAGGTTTAATGTTTAACCAAGAAAGCAAGATCTGTTTAAACACTCTAGTTTTTGTTTTGTTTTGTTTTGTTTATATTCATTATAAACCATACTATTCCATTAATTCCTCCTTTGAGCTTTCCTAACGGTAGGCAAGGTTCATCCTCAGGCGTCCCTGCAGCCCTCTGAATAACCTAGTTTTAAAAAAAGAACAGTATTCCACCTTTTTGGAAAGGGGATCAAAACGGCAGTCAGAAATTGGGTCGGATCAGTAAGACATCTTGAGAGCGTGAATCTACAACATACAACAGGAAGTTCTCACCCACAACCGCATCATATAAAGTTTGCACATGAATTTACAAGCCACACCAAAAACCTTGATCATTTCTCCTCTAATTCAATGTGTTTTAATGGAATGTCTTTATTAGATTCAAAGTACAAAACAAGCAGACGTAGAGAATGCAGTATGAGGAAGTATTAAAACCATATTTTCAGACATGCCCACCATTAAATATCAATTCAATTCATCTTTATTTCTAGCACTTTTACAATGTAGATTGTGTCAAAGCAGCTTAACATAGAAGTCTGAGTAAATTGAAATTGAAGGTTTGTCAGTGCAGTTATCAAGACACATCAAGGCACTTTTATTGTGTTTAAATTTATTACATGTAATAATTGCATATTTTCCAAGCACCAGATGCATTACGCTAAATATTTTAGATTTTTTAAACATGATGCTAAAGCAATGTTCGTGCTGTTGTTTTCCTTCCACAAATTGTACCACTTCCTGGAGAAGGGTGTCATTACAAGTTTATCAGCATAAAATGAAACCGTGAAAGCAGAGGAAGAAAACCAACATTTAGTTCAGAGTAGTTTTTTGTTCTTTCACTTTTATATTAAGTAACAACCAGAAACATGTTCAAAAATGTCAACAGCTGCTCAAAACCCTGATATGGTGACATAAAAAAAGTTAAAGTACACATGAAATTAAAACTAACCGTATTGATTTTGTTAGCTCACATTGCTAGTTTTGTGGTGAACAATTCATCTGTGCATATAATTAAGGGTGCTTTCACACTAGCATTTTTGGTCCGCACCCGAGTTTGTTTGACGTCAGAGCACGGTACGTTTAGCTAGTGTGAACATGCCTTCTGAACTCATGTGCGCACCCGTGAAGCGTACCTGAGTCTGCCTGAAATGGTGGTCTGGGATACGGTTTGTGGGAACTCTGGTACGGTTTACTTCTGATATGAATGCAATCGTACCAAATAACAGAAGTGAACCGCCAACTGTACAACAAACGTTAGTTTTCATAATGTTCATTTGTGTGTGTGTGTATGTTCGTGCATCAACTAGCTGGGTGGTAAACGGGACTGACCCAGTGCAAACACAGTGATAATGTCTGCTTGTCTCCACCAAAAACGACTTCTGCAGACATTGCGTGATGTTTTGAACATTTTTAATGTTTTGTTTTGTTTTTTTTGCGGCAGATAGACGCAAGTGGCTCTCTGTATTTTGGTTTTGGTAATAAGATTCAGTAAAAGCATAATGACCGTGAAATGCAGATGTCTCTGTTTTGGAACTTTTCTTTCGTGGCCATCACCTTGCAACAGCTGTACACAAAACAGCAGCTTGATGACGCAAGCGTATAAAAAAATAGCTGAGAAGGTGGCAAGGGGGGAATAATCGAACTTGGGTTCGGTCCAGGCAATTGAACCAAATGTGAAAGCACCCTAAGAAGAAAAAAAGAATGTTTGCTCCTGTAATCTAAAATTGAAATCTGAAATGAGCTTCGTGTTTGTTTTCAGTTCAATTCTTAGATCATGTCTTTGCTAGCCATTGGGCGTGGCTAACTTACTTAACCACGCCCCTTCAACTGTCAGTTTTGAGAACAGAAATGGGGTAAACTCTAGATTGGATATAGCTGCGGATACGCACATTTTGTGACACTGTATAATAATAATTCATATTTTTACAGTCCTGTGACGGTTGGGTTTGCGGTTGGGGTGGGGGTAGATGTTAAAAATATACAATTTATTTGGTAATTTAATAAATAACATTAATAATACTCGGTACTACTACTGATTTTACATTACTGTGACGGTTAGATTTAGGGTTAGGGTAGGGGTAGAAGTTAATAAAATACAAATAATAGGAAATGTATTAAATAATATAAATAATTCTCTTTAACTTTTGACCACAAATGTATCTGATCTAGCAACAACCCAGAAATGGTGAGGAGGAGGTGTCTATTTGGTTGTAATAACTCTCCTGAAGCCCTTTTCCAGATTTTTCTGAATGAAATATCTACTTTACTACATCCAATCAGCTTGCAGTAGGAAAAACAAGCCACGTCCACTGTTTCCGCATTTAATATTTTGTCTCTTTTTTATTATTTGAACTTTTTATAGATTTTTCCTATTTGCAAATAATGTAGAAGAATTTCAAATACAGCATTATCAGAAAAGCAAAGCAATACAAAATAAATAAATAACATTTATATGAATATTGAGAAAATAAACCAAACCAAACAAAAAGGGTTGCTAATATCAGTCTTAATTAATATTTTGTCTCGTTACATGTTTGCTAGCGTTGTGGGTCACAGAATTTTAGAAATGTTTCCCATTTATCAAAATAAATTTCAACCCTTCCATGTAAACTTTAGGAAAGTTTTTCACAAGCTGCAACTCGTTTTAACTGTGAGATCTACTTGAACAGGATCGTCGCAAGCTTAACTTGCGATCTTGAAATATTGTTAATACACAGACTGGTTCGCCCTCACAGTGTTCAGGGTGTCGTAGTGCACACAAGGGGGATTGTATGGTTTTGTGGGTCGCAGATGAAGCAAGATGACGCCATAGGCGATCGCCCATATTGGACCTGCCTCTGCACTCGAAGATTGGCGGTCTACTGGAAGATTTGAATTTCACCCATCTGCAATATTTCATTTTTCTAGGAACTGTGTCACAATATGAAAAAAAATGGTTGAAGCTTTCGATTCATGCAGATTTTAAAGGAAATATAGTATCCTTTTTAACAAATTTTAAGTTTAATATCATCTAATATATAAAGTTTAAAAAAAAAATGCCGTCTTGAAATTGCTCAGTGACTTTTAAAAAACAAATAGTTCTCCCAAAAATGAAACATCATTTACTCACTATCCACCTTTTTTAGAAGGTAATTTTGAAGAATGAATGGTTGCCATTGACCAACTATTGAAACTCAATGCTACCATTCTTCAACATTCTAAGAAATATCTCATTTGTGTTCAACAGAAGAAAAACATTTTTGGGGGGGTTAGCAATCCTTTAAATGTTTGAATCTGTTTAGAATGATTTTGTAACCTGAAATCTCCTCAGCCTGAGTCACTCTCTTGAGTCTCGTCTTAACAGTGCGTCATATGATCTGTGACAGTCTTAAATATCCCGTTACGACAACGACACCGATGTAATAGGGGATCAATCGCTATCCGGCCAGTTTCTTGTTTATATGAATAATAAATATGTCATTCATTATGCAAAAATATGGTTTGTTTAGGGATCATCATAAACTACATGCTACTTGCTTGAGATTTTAGCATGCTGTATGTTCGCACTTGTTATGCTGCCAACAAAGTGACCCGATCTGACTGCTGTTGTTTTATGAGGTCTCAGGAGTGTAATCTCACGGATCAATTCTCTCTTCTACTTTTCAACAGGGGAATAGATGCTCTGTTCTTCTCAACCAACCTTAACGGATCTTGTTGTGAGTAACATTTATTGCTCTGTTGATCTAAGGTGTGATGACACAAATGTGTGCCAGTATTGTGTGTGTATAAATCATACGTGTATTCCTGCGTTTATATCCTTGTCCTCCTGTCCAACAGGAAACTCTGCAATGAAAGATGAGAGTTGGATTGGGAACAAAATAAAATCAATAGTTTGACATGCTGGTACATTAAATGGTTATTATTACCAGTGCCATTTGTGTTAATGAATAAAAAAGCATATATTTGTTTATAATACATAATGCATACATACATATAATACATATTTGTTAGTATTGCATTTCAATGTTATTTATTAATTAATATAAATCAATCACAGATAAACAGGCTTTGCAAAACATATTTAATATTAATATTTTTTTAAATATCAAAATAGCACAAAGTTATAAGTAATCTAAAAAAATATATATAGAACAAAATTATATTTACAGCAATAAAATACGGAAAATTCTCATCCAGAACGCTGCTGCTAGGATTCTGACCACACTGGCTCCCAGTTACATTCAGAATAGATTTTAAAGTATTATTACTTGTTTATAAATCATTAAATGGCCTAGGACCACAATGCATTACAGATATGCTCACTGATTACAAGCATAACAGATCACTTAGATCTTTAAGATCATGTAAACTAGAAATTCCAAGGGTTCAGTCAAAGCAGGGTGAATCTGTCTTCTATTATGCTCTATTACGCTCTGTCCATCTATTACGCTCCAATCTGTGCTGCAATCGGCTTTCAGAAATGATCAGATGTGCTCCAACATTAGGCACATTCAAATCCAGACTGAAAACACATCTGTTTAGCTGTGCCTTTACTGAATAAGCAGTGTGCTACGTCCCACAGATCACACTATTTGGTCTTTCTTTTCTTTTTCATCCTTTTATTACCTGTTTTAACATTTTATTCTGTTTTTATCTTTTTTATTCACTGTTTTATTTGTTTTTATTATCATATACACTTATCTCTTTTATTCCTGTTTATGTAAAGCACTTTGAATTGCCACTGTGTATGAAATGTGCTATATAAATGAACTTGCCTTGCCTTGTCTATTGTAGATATAAATAGCATTTTATTTGATATATATATATATATATATATATATATTATATATAATTTTTTTTTATTCTAGCTCATTTCCTCTGCTTTGATAGCATATTTGAGGGTGTATAGTAAGGTTTTAAAAATAATAATAATAAAATTAGGGGAATGTTTTAATCTTTTTAATTTTTGTGGGAGTTTCTACTTCAGTGTTTAATGCATTTATGTGACCTTTAAATTAACTGTGTATTCACAATATTTTAAGTTAAAGTTGGCCGTCTGGATACTTGTTAGATCATTAAACTTTTCTGCGGATTTATCTCTCATGCACTCTAGCCTTGATCACTACAGCCCTGACAAAATGTCTAAACCAGTAAATGGCAATAACATTTTCTGAAATATGCTTCTATGAAAGCAATATTAAAACCAATAATTAACTGACATATATACTGTATATATATTGTTTTATTGAAGAAAATATTTATGTTCATAAACCTTTTTTTTTTTATGGAATTAAAACAAAATGTCATATAAGAAAAATATACATAATATTGAAGCTGTGCCGTTTCCCAGTGATGGGTTGCTGAAGGAAGGGCATCCTCTGCGTAAAACATATGCTGGATAAGTTGGCGGTTCATTCTGCTGTGGCGACCCCTGATTAATAAAGGTACTAAGCCGAAAAGAAAATGAATGAATGAATGAAGCTGTGCCATTTTAAATGATATTTCCACAACTATCACAAGATTATTAATTAAATTATACATATTAAAATGAAGCCAAAAAAGTTATGAATAAAAGCACAATTTTGAAAGTCAAGTCATTTCAGTTTTTATAGCGTCTTGTACAGTCCAAATTGCATCAAAGCTGCTACAGAAATAGTTCTTACAGTTCTGTCAACTGATCCAAAACTCTCTTGCACTGGCCAGTAAAAGCTGTCCTCATACTGAACCCAACAGAATGAAATTTTAAGCTTCCTTTTCAAGATGTTTGGCAATGTTTATGAGTGCTTTTGCACCAGTGTCAGAGGGGATGAAGCAGCACCCTGTGACTGGTGTTGCTCAAGAGCTCATTAAAAGCTGTCAGATGAAACGTTCGAATATTTTAGCATTATAATTAAACACCCCACAGCGGATTTGAGTCAGCAAACCTTGTGTTATTGCTGAAAAAACACAAACTGCGGCCCGAGCAGCTCATAAAACCAGGGACATCATTCTAAACCCGTATTAATACTTCACCGTTTGTTGTTTTGTGTTTTTCAGTTGATAAAGGGATGCTGGTGCTGAGAAAGTCAGTTGACCTTGGCGCTAATATAAAGACGGTTGCAGAGAGGATCTACTCCTTCGGGATTGGTGGACGTTTTCTGTTTGCTTCAGTTATGGCAGCATCAGGAAACATAATACCGTCGGCATCAGAGGTGTGTGTTATGATACACGAGTGTGTGTATATATGCATGAATACAGTGTGTTAACTTTATTCATGTTTTTCAGGAAATCATGCGTGCGATACATGTGTCAGTAGACCTTGGTGAGACATGGAACATGGCACAACTTCCTCCTGTCAGTCACGAGCAGTTTTACTCAATACTGGCAGCCAATGATGACATGGTCTTTATGCATGTGGATGAACCAGGAGGTTGGTGGTTTCTCTTGCTTTATTTACTTTATTACATATGCTTACATCTAGTGTTCTTCACAGCGTTTTTCATTTTTGAATAGTTTTGCATATGCACAAATGAATCTGTGAAAAAAGTACTGAAAATGCTGTGTTGTGCATGTCAGATCAGTAGGTGGCGACTGCACAATTATTGTCCAAACAATCCAACATAAACTCATTCTGCAGCCCTATTTACATTTCTGGAGAACGCAAATTATGTAGCCAGACAAAGAAGCTGCAGCTTTAGAATGCTAAAGCTTTAAATAAAAGTGAAATCAGCAACAGAAGCCCGACCCCTTCTGCGCTGCTGTTTAGAGCTCATTTTTGGTTAATGATGTCAAAATATACCAGCATTTTGCAATGGATGTGTAAATGGTCTTTTCCTGAAACATTCTGGAACGTACAGTCATTCCGGTAATTTTCAGAATATTTACCTGTATCAATGTCACTGAATTTTTCATATCAATGAAAGGGGTTAATGTCACATTTGCAATCAACACTATGTGTCACTATATCCATACAGCATTGGATATTAACAGTGCAAAGTTAAATGCATGTGCTGTTTGTGAGTGTGTTTGTGTGAACTTTGTGATGACGTTGTGTGTGACTCATCGTTGCAGAAAGGCTTGAATTAACTCCACTACAAATACATCAAATAATCATTGGGAAAGTTCTTACTGTAGTATTTCTCACAAATGTTAAATGTGATCTGCTTCCTTCTTGTCTGTCAATATGCTGTTTATCTGTCGCAGCCGAGGCGGAGATTGAGGCACACTCTGACAGGCATGTGGGAACCGTGGGCGAGAAGAACTAGCATTAAAGGCACAAGCAGTGTTGGGCAGTAGCATCGCTTCAAGTAGTGACGCTACTAGCTTAACTACATTTCTCAGTTGTGTGGCGTTTGCTACTTTCTAAATTAAATAGCTTTTCAGTTACAAAGCTATTTTATTAGCCAGGTAGCGCAGTAGCGTCCACACAAGCTACATTTACAGATCGTGGATCAATAAGTGATGGCACCCACATTCACGGAGATGTGAGGCCGGTGTCTAGCAGATGAAAGTAAATCCATATGATGGCGAGAGTGACGATTTCTTCTTCAGATGTTCGACAACAAAGTTTTTGGTGCATTACTGCCACCTCTGGTTGGCGATGTCGCAAACCTAAACTTGCTTGATGGAAAGATGACTGAGGGAGAGGAGTTATTTCTGAAGCAGTATATTTCTCGTGACCATACCTCAAGAAGTACATGTTAAGGTGTAAAAACTTAATTTCTGATGCTATGCTCAAAAAATACTTTAGTATATATATATAGATTTTTTTTTGTTTTAGCTGTTATATACTATAATTTGTTTCTGTTCAGTACAGCATATTATTTACAGTAAATAACTGAACTGAACTATTATGTGTCATATATTTCATTGACAGTTTTATTGATCACTAAGATATGATTGACTTGGATTTCAGTTGCTTCGATTTAAAAATGAAATTTGTAAAAATAGCTTAGAAGTTGCTAAGCTACTTTTCCCATGTAGCTTTTAGCTTAGCTTTTAGTGTAGTTAAGCTACATTTTAAGTAGAGTAGCTAATAGCTTAGCTCACTACATTTTTTAAAGTAGCTTGCCCAAAACTGGGCTCAGGCCACAAAAACAGCTGCAATGTTTTCATAGCAAAAAAATTCCAATATTCTGAAAGGTACAACAAATAATCTGATGGGTGTTTTGAGCTGAAACGTTACAGATAAATTCTGGGGACACAAAAGACTAATAAAACTTGAATCTTGAAAAAAGGGTAAAATATGTGCCCTTTAATACTAATGCTGTGTTCACACCTAATGCGGTAAGCAAGGATAAATAGACGCGTTAACATTTTGAGTTTACTCAATTCTTTTGCGCCTCAAATACGCTTTATTCGCGTGTTAAGCTTTGTTGCTAAATGGCTAACATGGATTTTATTGAGAGAATAGCTGTGCTTATGTGCTTTAGGAATACTGAAAAACAGCATCAATTCGTTTGGAGCCGTGTCCACTAGATCCATTCTGAGGTGCATCCACCTCTGTGAGCCCATAAACTCCTACAGAAACTAGACCTGGATGATGAAAGCTTTTAGCGGTGCTTCTGACTGAGCCAAGCCCAGTTTGATGAACTGTTGTCAGTGTTGGCAGGAGGATTTTCCCGTCTGGACACCAACAACAGGCGCTACGTCATAATTACCCCCCCACAAGAGCAATTGTCTATTTGCGTCTTTGCATTGACTTAACATGTTAATCACTCATGCTTGATGCTTCTTCCGCATCTGGTGTGAACACCTTATATTATACACCTTTCAGCCAATCAGAATCTAGACTTGCAAGACTATGGAAAAAAGAAAACGCATACAAGGATGTTTTCTTGCTTTCATAACTATAATTTAAGATTCATTCTGACTGTATTCCAATAGGCTTTGTCACAAAGTGAATGCTTTTGGGCTCTCAAGTTGCTTGGGGTTTTCACAAAGCGAGTGACATACTTAATAATGTTATCTTGCACCTCTGTAAAGTGAGAATTTCACACAAACCCCCCATTTTTCACTAGCGTTTTCCTGTTTTATACAACATCTTGAAATCAGCCACACTGGTATATAGATGCATTGTTTTTAATATGAAAATCTTGTACTGGTCAACCACAGGCATTTAGCAATACAAAAGAGTGGAACTGCCCAAAGAAACAACTGTTATTTTTTAATAAACTTGATAGACCTTCTACTGTGTCTTTTTTAACTGCCTTCTGCCTTTGTTTATTTTCCAGACACAGGCATTGGCACCATCTATGTGTCAGATGACAGAGGCACAGTCTATTCCAAGTCTCTAGAACGCCATCTGTACACTGGAGGAGAGACAGACTTCACCAACGTCACTTCCCTCAGAGGAGTCTACACTACTAGTGTGCTAGCTGAGGGTAGGGTATATTCTAGAAAACATGCACATATATTTAACGTATGTGTGTTTGTGTCAGATTTAAATTGTATGCTTTAAATCAGGGGTGTCAAACTCAGTTCCTGGAGGGCTGCGGTCCTACACAGCTTAGCTCCAACCCTGCTTCAACACACTTACATGTAGGTTTCAAATTGCCCGTTTCCACTGAGTGGTACAGTACAGTACGGTACAGGTCGGTACGGGTCACCTTTATAAGAATTGCATTTCCACTGCCAAAAGGGCACCAATAGTACCCTCTTGATGGGTGTGGTGTACGACAGAAAGTTTCAGTTGACGTCATTCTCGCTCAAGGAAATGTCAAAGTAAAGCTGTAGCGGTCATTCACAAATCATACATGAAGCATGTTCCGAACTAAACCGTACCGTACCGTACTGCTCAGTGGAAAGGGACCAAAACTGTGCAAAACTGTGGCCCACCACGAACTGAGTTTGACACCTGGTCTTTAAATGAACATGGATAAAAGCAGTTTCTATTGGAAGGCCTGCTGTTTATGTTTTAAATGTACATTTAGATTTGATATTTAACATTGTTTAAGCACTGTTCAAAAGTTTGGGTACAGTACTTTTTTGATAATTTTAAAATAGATGATGTGTCTTTCCAAGGTTGCATTTATTTAACCAGTAATATTGTATAAAATTCTTTCAATTTAGAAGAACTATCAATCTAATAACATGAGATTAATTCCCGCAATGGCATAACTGTTGTTTTAAAAATGTTTTTATGGTATTATATTTAGATTATAAAAGCTGACTTTTTTTACTCCTTGATGTTACATGATACTTATAAGTTGCAGACAGTATTCTGATATGCTCATTTGGTGTTCAAGAAAACATTTTATTCTGTTTAAATACTTTGTTGTGCTTTTTAATTTAATGCATCATTTTAAATGGAAAATATTACATAAACAAGCACACGCACATACATTAGTTGACATGACCAAAGATGCCCTTATTAAAGATAATTATAGAATGGTAGTGTAATTATTTTTTATTTCTGCTAAAGATAACTCTGTACAGACAGTAATAACGTTTGACCAGGGAGGAGAGTGGGTTCCTTTGAAGAAACCAGAAAACACCAAGTGTGATTCCACAGCCAAAGATGCAGAAATGGTAAGAACCTTGTAAGCAAAGGTGTGATGATTGGACAGATTGGACAGAAGTTTTTGTTGTTTAGTGTGTTTACTTACTAGTGTTGTCTTTCTTTTGTACAGTGTAGTCTGCATATTCATGCTTCATACAGTACCTCCATGAAGGTCAACGTACCCATGCCACCTCTCAGTGAACCCAATGCTGTTGGACTTATCTTGGCTCATGGTAATAATGCAAACACACTATTAAGACCAGTGCACTGTACTTGTTTTGTTTTGTTATGGTTTGTTTTATTTCATTTTATTTTATCTGTAGTAACCTGTAATGACCTTACTCTTTTACGTGCAGGGGGACTTATTGACTCACAAATCCTAAAACAATCACAGAAAATAGGTTCTTATAGACGAATTGAAGAAAATACAAACATATATATAAATAATTAAAGTCCCCTTAAAATCAGAATTAAAGTTTTGTTGGATATTAGTGACTTTATTAGTTTAACTGCTTCAAAACAAAGACATTTAGAAAAATAAGTAATTAAATTTTGTTTCTCAATGGATCAACAATTTTTATGAAATCAAGGAACACTTCAGCTTCTTATCAGATCTTCTGACCAATCAAAAGCTCTCTTGTATCGCAATTGTCCTGATTCTTACCTACTAGTTAAGGCTGAAATCGTTTACTTATTGGACATTTGCATAAATAAGAAAATAATAAATGGTAGCCGACACATCTGAAATTCTGCATGTTTATTAGTTGGAACAATGTGGGGAGGAAAATATTCAAATGAAAATGGAAACTTTCCATTGAGGTGAATGAAGTCTAGTTGTGAGTTAAAGAGAGTGATAGATTGTATGGCTGGTTTTATGTGCAAACAAGTATCTGCATCTGAAAAGGTATGAACCAAATGCCCTACAGGAACTCAAGAGTTGTGACCCAACCAAACCAGCTGGGTAATAATCTTCTTTGCTGTGAAGTACTGTCTCACAGACAGTACTTTGGGCTAAGTTACTTGAAGGCCGACAAGTTAACATTGATGCTGAGGAACTGTACTAAACAATGTCTTTAATAAAGCCATCTCCCCTTAAGAATTTTGGTCAGCTTACTTATTTTATTATATTCCAAGAATGGTTAAGCCAAATACAGTAAAATCTAACATGAGTTAACATAGATAGTCTGCTCTGGTCCAGAAACACATAGACCACAAAGGTATCAGACACATTTGAATTTGACTAAATGCTGTAATTTAAAGTGGAGAAACAGTCAGACGGACTCAGCATTGCTATCAAAGACTGTGGTTGTCAATAGTCAGATTCGCTTTATCTCTCTGACTCTTATTGGCAGAGCTATATAAACAATACGCTATTGACTTTTCTTTTTTTAAATGGGGCAGATATTCCCCACCCTGACTTCATGTTTAATTTGGATTTACTTCACACATCGAACAAAGCTGTGCATTTCAAGGCAATTCAGAAGGAACACTTTATAGTAAATGGAAATAATGGGAATACCAATAAAGAAAATGAATCGAAACATTGACTGTTGCACTCCCCCTTTTCCAGGCAGCGTAGGGGACGCCATCTCCATGCAGACGCCTGATGTGTATGTGTCTGATGATGGAGGCTACACCTGGCTGCAGGCTCTAAAGGGGCCACATCACTATGCCATCCTGGATTCTGGAGGCCTGCTGGTGGCCGTGGAGCACAACCAGGCCAAACCCATCTCCGAGATTAAGTAAGCACTGAGATAGTGTTATGATTATATTCATATTTTTGTTACACTTTAGTTTAGGTTACAATTCACACTTTTACTTAACCATTAACTAACACTACTAGCTTAAAAAATACTAATTAGCTGATTAATAGTTTGTTTGGTTGAAGTTTGGTTTAGGTTTTGGGTAGGATTAAGGATGCAGAATAAGAGCATACTTTATTACTACTAATGAACAGTTAACATCTTAATAATAGGCAGGTGATAAGTCAGTAGTTATTAGCATGAATTTTGACCTAAACTTAAGTGTTACTGTTTTTTTTTTTTTTTTTTACTTTTTAAATATTCAATTACAATTAAATTTTTGTCTGTGTAGATCTCATGAAAAGTCAGTCCAAGGAGATCTCAGGTGTAATATTAACTGAAAATAAACACATAAACCAAAAAGAGAACAACTCGCCTGTAAATGCAGTAACTCATGAACTAAACATGGAGCAGGTGGGCGAAAACAAAACTCAGAAAACAAAAATATTTAACAGGAAAATTAAACAAAACATGATGCTATGACTGGTAACCCTAAATAAAACTAAACATAACAAACTAAACAAACATAAACAACTTTTTAGGTCCATCAAACAGAAAATATTACATTATTTATTTATTAATTGACTGCATGTTTTGGTGGCTTAAAATTAATATAAGTATTGAATGTGCGTTTTTGTATCATAGAAACTGTTGACATCCGTCAAACAAATGCAAAAAACAAACAAACATACGAACAAATATCAATCTCTTACAATTATACTGATGCTAGAAGACCAGCATTTGCAATTAAAGAAAAGTCAGTTTTAAAAAAATCTTTGAAAGTTGTGATTTCCACACATTAGTTTTAAGAATGCATTATATTTACACCAAAAAGATCCTAAAATTGTTGAAAAAAATGTACTTAAGTAAGTATTTCACTATATTCATGAATAAATAACAAGCTGTGTCATATGTACCCTGTGAATGATCAAATGTAATTATTTCTAGGCAAACAGTCCATTCTGACTGCGGAAATTTATAATATGAAAACATTAGTTTTGCTTTTCTAAGACACATCAATAATTTGGTTGAGCATGTTTTTGAAAAGTTATTACAAACATACTAAATATTATTCATGGTACCAAGTAACTAAACTTTGTAAAGCTACGGCTCTCAGAGGATAATTTGTCAAAAGAAAAATGCCTACCTAGCATGTCAGGAGTGATTTCCTTGTTTTTTCTTGAAGCAATGTTGTGATGAGTGCTGTTGATCAAGTTAGTGACGACTAGTGGATTTTATTGGCCAAACATACTTCAACCAGACGGTAGAGATGGCTCCATCAGGTTTAGTTAAGTTAGGTAATCCTCTCAATAAAATATAGTCAGTCAAAATATGGTCAACCATTGGGTCGAGCAGAAAGTTAAAGGGTTAAAATGAAATTTAAAAAAATAGAACATCAACTGACAGTAATTTAGTTTATTTGAACATTATTTTATTCCAAATAAAAGAAAATTGTTATCTATGATTTCAGTTAGTATCTGGCTACCATGTAATGTAATGTATTTTTTATTTAATGCCATGTCAGCAACCAAGGCTATCTTCATGGCAGGAATCTTTCAACAATAAATATACAATTTAAAAATCAGCAAACAAAATAAAACATAAATTAAATAAGTTTTTTTGTGTTAATACATGATAAAAATTCTAAAACCTTTTCTGGTTTCACTTTGTCAAAAGTGTCCTGAAAAGAGTTAATTTCATAAAAAGTCCTTCTGGAATCAGTAAAAGCAGGACAGTCCAGTAAAATATGTTTTATAGTAAGAGGAGTTTTGCAGCACAAACACTGAGTAGGGTTTTCACCTTGGAGCAAAAAACCATGTGTGTATCTGGCTACCATAACTGGCTTTTAGATACCAGTTTTCTTTGTAATTCTTAAAAAATGAAGCTAATTTTCTTCAATGCATAATGTCTGTACATCCCACACAACTCATTGTTTATGTGCCGCACAGGTTCTCCACCGATGAGGGCCAATGCTGGCATGTTCACACGTTCACCCAGACGCCGATGTACTTCACAGGCTTGGCCTCTGAGCCTGGTGCCCGCTCAGTGAACGTCAGTCTCTGGGGTTATGAAGACGCTATGATCAGCCACTGGGTCACCTACACTATTGACTTTAAAGACCTGCTAAAACGAAATTGTAAGTGACCAGTTCAGTTTCAACCACATCTTGTTGCACTTTATAGTTTAGTTGACACAAACCATTTTTTGTTTGGTTTTCAGGCGAGAGTGATGATTATGTTCAATGGCTGGCACACTCTGATGACATCAGCGACCCAGAAGACGGTTGCATGCTGGGCTACAAAGAGCGTTTCCTGCGGGTGAGGAAGGACTCTGTTTGCTGGATTGGACGGGAATATGTAGTTAACAAACAGCCCACGCCGTGTGTCTGCACACTTGATGACTTCCTGTGGTGAGTGGAAAACTAATCCTTAAAAAATTAAAATATCAAACAAAAACGCAGTATCAGGTGAAAAAGACATACATTTTTTGAAAACTTTGGCCAGGTGTGGTTGTGTGGCCATTAAACTGCATTTTTTGCCTCATAGTGTTGATTTGCGTGCTTTTTTCTTGTTTCTAATTGGCCAACGTGCCTTTATTGTAAGGCTTTTATGCATCATAGGCTCATTCTGAAAACGTAGCGAAATATACATTTCTGGAGATCCTGAACTATGCAGGTTTAGGGAAATGGGTTTTTGGGTCAATCAGTGCTATTGAAAACACTATTGGTTGGGTTTAGGGAAAGGGGGAAGGTGGGGGAATTGGTCAGTCGACATCGGCCTCTGGTGGATTAACGTGAGAACAGCAGATGCAAATGGCACTCGCAAGAGAAATTTCAGATCTCAAAAATTATACACAGTGGATTCGCGAAAACAAAAACTGCATAAAACATAACTCCTGGGATGTATTCGGTGCTCTCCAGAAATGTATATAGCGGTACGTATTTAGAATGAGCCTGGGTTGCTTTTATCATCACCTATTAATTCCGCATGCCATCGACAGTTCATCTTCATATGGATAGAAGGCAGAAAAAAAAAATACCCATGTATGTGTGGACATGGCCTAAGAGCACCTGAACTCTGGTGAATAAAACCAAGACCCCTCATTTCTTCCCCACCTCACCACACACCAACCTAAAATACTATAAATTCTGACTGTGCCTCACACAGGTGAGTGGGCTTAACAAACCACCTGTAGAAACACTTTCTTTCTCTCTCAAAAAAACAAAACAACAACTCTAGCATTCTCTGAGCTCAAATAAGTTACTTTGTAAAACTAGCATCTCTTGTGTGTAATAAATTCCTCCTGAATTGTTTGGACAAAAGCGTCAGCTAAATCAGAGGTTCTCAACCACCAGGCCGTGGACTGGTACCAGTCCATGGATCAGTTGGTATCAGGCCGCACAAGAAGTTATTATTATTTCCATTGTATTTGTTATCTGAGTCGGAACGATTACTGTATTAGCGACACGGTGGCGCAGTAGGAAGTCCTGTCGCCTTACAGCAAGAAGGACGCTGGTTCGGGCCTTGGCTTTATCAGTTGGTATTTCTGTATGAAGTTTGCATGTTCTCCCCGCGTTTGCGTGGGTTTCTTCCGGGTGTTCCGGTTTCCCCCACAGTCCAAAGACATGTGGTACAGGTGAATTGGGTAGGCTATAGTGTTTGAATGTATGAGTGTGTATGGATGAAACCTTCAGCCAAGGAATGGATCCGCAACCCATTTGTCAACAAATCAGAAAACTGGAGAAAGCAAATTACGGCGACCTTATAGGGGCCGTTCGCATTTTGCATCTTTTGTAGAGTTCGCGCAAATTCGTTATTTCCAAAGTGACGTGCTCACCCCTTCCAGATGCACCCAGTTGAATAAATGCTGCGAGTCACGTGACAAGAAGTGACCGCCCCAGTTTGGATGGAATATACACATTTCGGTTGACATTATCTTACACAAACACAGTACACCCAAACACTGCAGTGCTTTGTCATTTTCTACATACATAAAACTTGTATCCGAGTGACAGCTTGTCATTCTCTGAGAAAAGTGGTTGATGGTCACCTAGCAACCTACAAAACTCCGACCCCTCCCGGTCCACAGTAAAATTGTCAAGCGTTGACTAGTCCGCGGTGATAAAAAGGTTGAGGACCACTGTGCTAAATGAATAAATGTAAATGTAAAGAAAAGAGACAAATATTCTCTGCCTTCCTTTTCAGTGACTTTGGATACTACCGTAAAGAAAAGAGCTCTGAGTGTATAGAACAGGCTGAACTCAAAGGCCATGATCTGGAGATCTGCATTCATGGGAAGAAAGAGCAGCTCCAGACCAGTGGGTAATGCCATCTCTGCTTTATTCTCTTGAGGACTGACTCTTATTTTTCTCTGATTCTTAAATTGGTTGTTCACTCAGAAATTACATTTCTATAATCATTTACTCTCCTTCAAATGGAAAAAAAAGATTCATGAGTATATTTAATCTCTTAAAACACAAAATAAGATATTTTGAAGAATGTTGGACACAGCTAGCCACTGATGTCCATAGTAGAGAAAAAATACCATGGAAGTCAATGGCAAGTGTTTTCCAACGTACTTCAAAATATTGTGTGTTCAGCAGAAGAACAGAACAGGTTTTGAATCACTTGAGGGTGAGTAAATGATGAAAGGTTTTTAATTTGTGTGAACTGTCGCTTTAAGAAACATATTAATTATTTATTAGTGGTTCATTCCGCTGTGGTGACCACTGATAAATAAGAGACTAAGCTGAAGGAAAATGAATGAATAGTTATTTTGAATTTGGCAGATACCGAAAGATTCCAGGTGATAAGTGTGAAGGAGGGAAACAACCAGAAAGAAAGGTGATCGACCTGAGCAAGAGATGCGTCAGTGACCTGCTTGACCCCCAGCCGCTGGTGAGACTGCATTTATATATCACAGTTCTGCATTTCTGTATTTATAAAAACATCAGTCACATGTACTGTAGGCTTGTTTTATGTACATAAGTGTTGAATGAACAGTTCACTCTACTATCTTTAAAAAGTGTACATTTTTAAAAGAATGCAGAAATGTGGTTGACCATAAGTGCGTTACAAAGTGACATCACCATCTACTGGCCTGATCTAGGTGAATGGGGGATCTTTTTAACAGTAGCGTTTAAACCTCATACTCACGCAGCTGTTTATCTTCTATCAGAATAATCCACAGTCAGAGCAATCCACCTCTCACACGGCTCCTATCATTGCCATGGTCATCGCCATCCTGCTGACCGGTCTAGTGTTTGGGGCACTGTTCGTAAAGAAATACGTCTGCGGTGGAAGGTCAGTCTGTTCCCCAAACATTTTAAGGTTTATATATTAAATACATATCGTTTTTTTTAAATACAAAAAGATAGTTCTGTCGGTAAACTGTCCTGCCCTCTATTTTGCAGGTTCCTGGTCCACAGATACTCAGTCTTACAACACAATGTGGAAGCCAATGGTGTTGATGAACCGCTGGAGACAGATGTGGTTGGAGCACCGAAGAATGACTTCCATGATGATTCAGATGAGGTACAGATTCACACTCATAAATAACTACACTTAAGCTCCGTATCCATCTGGTTTTAAGATTAAGTTTAATGCATTGGATCTCAAAAGGGTGATGTTAAATATGGGTGTAAAAGGGGTCTAAAATGTTTTGAGGTTATCCACATTTTAGCATTACCAGAGGGAGCTCAAAACACTGTGCTTACATAGTGTAAAAACTCATGGTCAGTTGTGTTCTAACAGCCACTAATAACTACCAACTCTCTGCCTGCTGACCTCCTTTTTTTACAGTTACAGTTGATAATGTTACATTTGATTTAAAGGTTAAAAAAAAATTTCTAATGCCGGGTTCATTCACCATATTGACCCATTTAAAAGTATACAGGTGACATGTCTTGTGTATTCTATAGTCTTTAGTAATATGTTCAGCAGATACTTTTACTCAGGCTACATTTTTGGGTAAGTAATGGTACTTGAGTGTGAATTTTCAGTAGTCCTTCCACCGCTAGAAAATGATGACAGAATTTAAATTTTTGAATGAACTGTCTCTTTAACGCCTGGATGTAAACAGATCCTTTGAAAACAATCTAATCTAATCCATTTTCAATTACCTCTGGAAGTGGTCGAAAGTCACAATGTTTTTGATTGTATTTGATAATGGTGCTCAAGTTTGACCGACAAAAAAGCATCTTAACACCAGGTATAAACATGGCCATAAAAGTCTGTTTCCCTTCTAGCTGTTGTTATAAATGAGCCTTAAAATCCAAGTATTCTTATGTGACATTTTTCGATCACAAAAAATTCCATTAAAGAAGTCATTGTACTGATCTTGCTAAATGTCTGTGTCATTGTCAGGACCTGCTGGAGTAAAGCTGAGCAGAAGGAGCTCCATTTGCTGTCATCCAGGCATTACTGCTGCTGTCTCTCTTCTTAAAGCACAAGCCAGCTGTCAGTCAGCTTTTTCAAACCTTACCTACCAGCTAATGTTATGCACTTCCTGCTTCTCCATCAATCCGAGTGGACACGGTTGCTTCTCCACCAATAGGAGGTGCTGTTCTCACAACTAAAGACTCTCTTGAATGTAGCTTTGCTGAAGAAGCGTTTAAAATGCGGTTAATGGTGTTTTAATTCTATCTTCGGGCGTTTTAAGGACTGTTGATGGGATACTTTGTAAAATACTTGTTTTTCTTTTCATGTACAGATTCCTTTATGTCAAAACTGGACGTTTAGTTGATCAATTTTGAAATGGATTAAGCATACGTTTGATTTAGCAACAGGAGGCATGATATCAATCATATCAAAGAGGTTTATTTAAAATACTGTGCTACTGAACCCATCAGTAAAATGTGATCTGCTTTCAAAGCTTTACTAACATTCACTGATATGAATATAGCAATAAACGGCAACAGATTTGGCTTCAGAACAAACAAAATGGAGGAGTGTTCATCGTTTAAGATTTCCGAACATTATTTACATCAGTGTTTCTCAATCACTTTCCTGGAGGATCACCAGCTCTGCACATTTTCCATGTCTCCTTAACCAAACACACCCGATTCAGATCATCAGCTCATTAGCAGAGACTGAAAGACCTGAAATGGGTGTGACAAACAAAGGAGACATCCAAATCATGCAGTGTTGGTGGTCCTCCAGGAACGTGGTTGGGAAACACTGCTTTACATGATACTGTGTAGCTGTTTTTGATACAAAAATCTGTATCTAATATTATCGACATTATACACCTTGTGATAATTTGTAAATAAGTCACACTTCAAGCCATTTCTGCGAGGGTTAGGTCAAATTTTGTAACGATAACTATTTTTATGAACTAAGCAATGACGCAGATGCATGTAAAATAGGACTAGAGTTGTAGTTTGTGTACAACCTTGCACATTTTGCCCAAATCAAATTTTGTAGTTTTCTTGGCTCTCGACGTTTGTGCTGTTTTTGTGGTTCTTGACTGCAGGAAAGTCCCATGTCATTAAGCAGAAAAGGTGTGACTTTTTTTTTTCTTTTTTAAACCGCCTGACACTTGACTAGGTGTTTGCGTGACAAACCATTAGTCGCAATAATTTAGCATGTGTTCATTATTTCCAAACATCAGTGAGAACAGACCCAGTGGTCGGAACTCTTTGACCATGCCATTTAACAAGATTCAAATGCAATAGAAAGCAGTTTAGCACCTTTCCGCTTGTACTTCCTGTTTAACGTCTGATGCAGTGAGTTTTCTTTTAAGTATCTACACTTCATTTCTAGCCAAATTTCTAGCAGTTGTTTACTTATCTATACCAATCCTAATGGAAAGTCTCATATTTTCATAGAGGAAGACAATCTCCTTTGCAAATACTCATATGATGTTTAAGAGGTATAAAAATTCTAGTTTGTGTTTTGATTCAAGTGCCTAGCATGAAGGCATAGCTTGTGCCTTTCAATAAAATGTAAATCTCATCATCTATAATTCTAAAACAAGAGGAAAGAAGTACCACAGTTCAAAAACATGAGTTCATATTTCAGTACTTTTACTTTTTATAAAACAGAATAATAGTAAATGAGCCTCTAATATTGTATTCCTCCCATTTAATTGCAAATTGGACAGTTTAGGTTGTTCTCCATGCTTAATAAAAATAAAAATAATCTGGATATGACAAGTAGACGCAATGCAAATGAAGTTAATTCTATTGTGACACTGATGTTATTTATGAGAGGTGGAACACTTCTTCAATGTACATAGTAGTTGTGAAGCTCTGTACATATATAGCAATTCCCACTTTGTATCTGTTATTTTCTTTGCTCTGTATATTTGGAAAAGAACTGTTAGTTTGAGAAATAAATTGATTTGTCCTGTTGATTTTGTGTGGTCAAAATTTATACTTATTTGTCAGTTTTTTAATTCCATTCTTCTGCAGTTAGGAAAAAATAAAGCAATTTATATAAGAAAATGAATTAAATATGAGCGTAATAAACTTGCAATATATAAAACATCAACTCTGTGAGGAAAAAAAGGTTTTAGAAGATGCAAACACTTTCTCTCACAAACCTGAGTTTATATTACACAAATAAACTTATTTCCAAGAAATAAAAAATAAATACTGTATACATTTTTATGATAAGAGTATATACTGTATAAATTTTTTTTAAAAGTGTAAAAAATTGTCTCAATTATGAAAAATAAACGCAATTACCTGTAAAACAAATTGTATTTCCTTTGGCAGCTCCATATAAATGTGACAGAGATGCAAAGTATTCAGTTTTCACCATGTTACCAATCATTTCTTTACTACGAAAAGGATAGTTCACTAAAAAATGAAAATAATAATAATTTCTCCATCCTTCAAACCTGTTGGGAGTTTATATTATTGTTTTTATTTTTATTTTATAAAGCAGTATCCATTGACTTTGATCGTATTTTTGTTTTTACTCTGGGTGTCGATGTCTGCTGGTTTCCAGCATTCTCCAGGATGTCTTGTGTTAAACAAAACGAAATTCATTAAAGGGCACCTATTTTACCCCTTTAACATCATGTAAGACGAGCCTTTGTTGTCTCCAGAATGTGTCTGTGAAGTTTCAGCCCAAAATACCCATCAGATTATTTATTATAGCCTGTAGAACCTGCCTATTTTGGTGGCTGAGTACAGTGTAGCTGTTTTAGTAGCCTGTGGCTTTAAATGCAAATGAGCTGCTTCTCCCCACCCACCGTTTCGACATGTGTGTCTGCTTCTCATGGGTTAAATCAGATAAACAGCAGTTAGTGATGGATGAAGCTGAAAAAACGTCACAAGTCAAAAACACCCAAGAAAGTTTATTTGATGTATTTGTGGTGGAATTTATTCAAGCATTTCTGAAATGATGAGTCTCACACAAATGCCATTTGCATTACACACACATTAAAGTTTACTGACACCATGTGGCCGTGTTGATTATAGCGGTTAAGAATGAATGATTTAACTGTCTTTATTACAAACTCTGTTTTAAATTTTTTTTAAACGTATATAACTTATGAAAATCACAGAGATATTTTAATCCAAGTTTATTTGCAAAAAAATGTTCTGTGGACGTGTATAAACATTATTGTAGAAACATGATGCCTGTCAATCAATCGGTGGTCAGGGAAAACCACACCCACGTTGCAGTGGGCCTCAAAATCACTGTGATATGGGTCCTATTTTATTGTCAGGATATTTTTTAAAAAGAGACTTGCGTTTCTATCACTCTAATATGACTGTGGACACAATATACCTACATACAGCTCTGTCCAAACAGCTTACTAATGTTAATCATAGGTGTCCTTTCAAGTTTACGTAAATGGTGAAGAAATGTTTATTTTTGGTTGAATTATGCCTTTAGATATATTTTTATTTAACAAACATTTTCTAAACATAAACTCCAAGTGTCTCAAACTCTATACAGGAAGTTACCTTCACTATCAAAAAAGTCTCTTCCTCTCTGCTCCACTGGACTGGGCTTCTCATGAAGTGTTTGTGTGATTTTCTCCAGCTCTTCGTCAGTCAGAATCACTCCATCCCACTCCTCCTCAAACTCTACATCATCATTCACATCCATCTCACCTTTAGACTCAAGCCTGTCCTGGTATTCGGGTGCCACATTCAGTACAGCTGTCTGTTTTGATAATGTTATGTGTCCAGCAGAGGGCGTCAGTCCAGTCTGCTTGGTGTCCAGTGTTTTGAGGGCAGAATGAGATGTGTTTGCAGAGGGGAGCAGTACTGATGGAGTCAAGCTCTTCTGAAGTCTGGATTGTTCAGCTTTGCCGTCTTTGAGATACTGTGGTCCACTGCTGGGGGAGACTTTAGCATCCTGCTTTAGCTTCCGGGCTGCTGGTGGGGTGAACGTGCTGCGCAAGACTCTGGAAATGACATCAGGGCTGACAGAGAAACCCTCTGCTAGTCTCTGGAGCGTCCATTCCTCTGGAGACTCCTGCTTTAGGTACCTGTGAAATCATATGGCAGATGACTGGCCGGTAAAAAACTACAACATTTCTGGCAAGACATGAGATTGGTATGATTTATTGAGAAATCAACGTTCAAACATTCATTGATTTTACTTATTTTTCTTTGGCTTAGGGCCTGATTTACAAGGAGCTGCATATGAAAGTTTTTGTTTGTTTTTTTGCCATGAAATACTTGCAATTAAGAATCATCTATTCTAAAAAAAAGTATTACATTAAATTGTGAACTACTATTTTAATTAAAAAGACATAAAATCATAGCAACCCCTTCCCTTTAAATGATACTCTGAGGAAAAAATAGGATTTATTCATATTTTCATATAAATAAAATGAGATTCCCATAAACAGGGGCTGACTTGGTGATTTTGGGGCCCAAAGCAATTCCAGGTATGGGGCCCTAGCAATTAAAAAAAAAAAAAACTGCATGTTAAAAAGCATATTTTGTATATTTTAATATTTAAATGAACCATTCTCTTTCTAATGTAAAATTAAAAGCAAACAAAAAAAAAACAAGTTCACAAACTATGTACAGCAGGGGTGTCCAAACTCAGTCCTGGAGGGCCGGTGTCCTGCAGATTTTAGCTCCAACTTGTCTCGACACACCAGCACAGATGTTGAGTCAGCTTGATTAGCTAGCTCAGATGTGTCTGATCAGGGTTGGAACTAACCTACAGGACTGAGTTTAGGCACCCCGATGTACAGTTAATTGGCTATTGTTGTGATTAGATTTTAATAGTAATAATAGTAAACTAACATTTAAACAAGTGGAATTTACAATTCATCAAACTAAACTTTGCACCCGTTATCATATGAACTGAATAATTGCTGTTTTTGAATCGGTGGCCGTTTCACTGGAGAATGTGATGTGAACAGGCCCTCTTTCTTAAGCTCACAACACTCATCATCTGAGCTGTTTTGGCCAGACAGCAGGATCGTGGAGGAAGTTGTCGTATTTATACTTTTTTCCCCAAATGTTCTCAATATTCTCACTCTTGAACACTCTGTCTGCCTCTTCTCTAATCGCTAGCAAACTGGTGTCACTAAAATCTCTGTGATTGTGAACAACTACAAGATAATAATAAGCAGTCAATTTAAATGATTACATGTAAAACAGTGGAGAAGCAGATGGGTTTAACTGTACCAGGGAAATACCTCACGTTTCTACTGCTAAAATATTAGCCGTCGGCATGCAGATGAATGATCTGCTCTCAATGCTGCAGGTGTGAGAGATGGCTGTGTGGCACCGTGCCGCCTTTGAGTGCTCTAAAGCGGTGGAGAGGCCGACAGCATCACCCTCAGCACGTTGTGAAGAGTGATGTTAGGAACGGTACAGAACATAAGACTCTCTAAAAATCTCCAGTAACACCTAAAAACATTAGCTAGTCACTTTTTGGAAAATTTGCCGCTTAGGGGGGTCTGAAAAGTCGCTAAGTTGGCAACACTGTCTATGATCAAAGCACTCACACTTCGTGCATGTGCAGTACGGAAGGAACGTTCCACTATTCATGGGGGCCTTGGTTTTGAAAATATTTAAAATCGATTTTACAACATATGACTGAAGTGAAGTTTATGTATAAACTAATTTCAAGAGGATCACGTGATTATGATTGAACACGGCTGGTTCTGCATTAGCATTTAAAATTATAAATAGCCATTATAAAGAGCCAGGGTTTCTCACTACAGTCATCTTCGATTTGAAGAATCCCCCCTTCCACCCCTACCTCTTCAACTTTCCCTCCATAGGGCGGCATGGTGGCCCAGTGGTTAGCACTGTCGCCTCACAGCAAGATTGTCACCGGTTCTAGTCCTTTAACAGGTTGGATTTCATTTCTGTGCGTAGTTTGCATTGGTTGGAGGTCCCTAATTCCCCAAGCCCCTAAGCGGCTGCTTATCTCACTTATTGGTTAAGTCCACACCTGGCCAAGGGGTATGAATAATTTCAGCTTGACTGTATATTATAAATACACACACAAGCTAAATAAACTGAACATATACACACATTTTATCTCATTTTATTTAATCTCCTAATTAATTATTTAATATGTTTACATTTTAAATCAAAGTTTGGGCTCACAAACCATTCAAATAAGTATGACATATGATATAAAAATATAATAATAATAATTTAGTCCACACATGCACGTGACAATAGAAAATGATGGCTTATAATCACAACAAATTTTGAATGCTCAATGTTGTGACTGATTAAACAGAATTTCAGAGACCTTTGTAATAGACACAGGATGCGAATTACAGGGGGGTTTGGGGGGACTGACGCCCTAACTAACACTTGATCCCTCCCTGAAGGACATCAAAACAAGATGTATGGAGGGTCAACCCTGTGATAATAAAAATAGCTTTCTCTGATTCATATCTTTAATATTAATAATTAAAAATGTATAATATAAATATACATTTGATCCCCCTACAACGGCTTATAACATTGAGAATGCATAATTGCGCCAATCAATGCTAGGAAAAATATCATTCAACAGTCCTAAACTGGCAGTTCTAGAGCACAGATAGACAACTTAAGTATTCACAAAACAAGTTTCTTGTAAAATAGATGTTTTTATCTGCATGTAGGCTTAAAAATGAAAAATTATACACATAATTTGTATAGTTTGACCTACAGTACAGTAACCTCTAAAATAGTCATCAATATCCTTCAAAACCCTAAGCATACATTTTATTAATATATGATATGCAGTTTAAATAAATTCATAAATTTGATTCACTGAAGCATGTATTACCCAACTACTATTGAAAAAAAATTGCCCCAAGCCCCCAACAACCCCCTGGCAATCTTTGCACACAGAATAGACAGCAATTTGCACACTGAACAGACAGACATACTGACTTTGTTACCTTATCTGTTCAATGGCATCCCAGCTGAGCTTTCTGTGTGGAGCTCCAGGAGTGTTCATTTTCCTCTTGATTATATGAAACTTTGCTGCTTTCTGTCTTCTCCTCTCTTCACTGTACAGAAGCGTTAACATTAATGCATGAAGACAGAAGCTTTTGTCCTTCTCTAGAAGAACTCACCAAATAATAGAGTCCAGTTTGACTTCCACTGCATCCATGTCATGGTCATCCTCAAACACGGCACCCTGTTGTTTCTGTTTGGGATTCTTTGACATCCACCCGAATGAGCCTCGACTGGCATGGCGACGGGCCTGGCAGACAGCAGGTCCTGGGACAGGGGCCAGTTTGGTGGCCAGCATGAGGACTCTTCTCCAGGGGGACACCATTCTAAATGGTCAGAGATACAAAGACAGTGATATCCGAAACTTCAACTGGATCCAACATGAAAATGACTATTCAACTAATTGTAATGGACCCTTTTCACAAGCCTGTTATGACAAGTTTAATGGTCATCAACATCTTAAATCCAACAAAAAAGTTTTAAATATTTTAATAAAAAAAAAAACGTATGAATATTTATATGTATTAATGCATGAATTATATCATCTTTGTTTTAAATTACAAAACATGAATTACCGCTTGTGAACGGGTTTCTAATGCAGCGTCTATAGGACAGGACAGTAAATTAATTTGAAGTTATTCTCTCCTCTGGCTGGCATTATCAGTCTCACACAATTTTGTTTCTTTTTCTGAAAGTCTTTATAACATCATCATTGATTTTTTCTTTTTTTATTTCAGCAAATATGATTGTAAAAAATTATTTGTTGTATTCTCTCATTCATTGCATAAGTTTTCCCAACTATGACGACTTTCTCTACTGAGGAACCCAGAAGTGTGAAACGGGTCTATTAGCCATGAAACAGTAAGAGGACACATTACATTAAAATCTCAGTTATTTTAAGCCATTATTCACCCAAAAATAAAATATGCTGTTATTTTCATCCTCAGGACATCCATGATAAAGAATACTTTTTTCAGCATTTTAGATTTTTTTTCAACTGAAATCGTAGTCCTTTGCGAATCAGAACTTTGAGAGCAGAAAAACAAATACAGGCCAAACTTATGGCATAACAGTGAATCCATTAAAGAAGAAAGTGCCCTATTTCTTGGATGGCCTGAATGTGAGTAAATAGCAAATGTTATTATTTGGATTAACTATTCCTTTAGAGTCAAACAGTTCAGTTTATTTTAAATAAAATACTAAATTGTAAGATGTTGAGTTTTTTGCTTCTATAACGTTGTAGGTGAGTAGAAATGAAACATCCAAATACATGTGTGTGTGTGTGTGTGTGTGTGTGTGTATTATTTTACAATTGAGGTAAAGTTGGTTTTATATTTACACATTCCTTCAGTGACAGCTTGTGACATGCTCCCTGTATTCTTTACCATGGTACTTTAAATGTTCTGTTTAAAAATCACATGCAAGTATGTCTTCAAGACAACATTAGCACTATTTATTTGACTATGAACAATGTTGTACTTTGATAGTCATTGGCTACTAATATGATTTCCCTATTTGTAATAGGCAAAGAATACTTTTCTGAAATATATTAAGAAGGGAAAATTCTTTAAGGGGAAAACTTTACCTCATTTTTTTACACAGATCTACAGATGTACTGATTCCATTTACAATGCATATCTTAATGTTGATTTCTCTGGAGAAGTTGTTCCCATTTATAGAGCTGGAAATTAAATTATTTTATGCTCTTCTATATTACAACTAACTAATAAAAACAGTTTGTAAAAGCAATTTTACTTACTTTTTTTCCTCTGATTTGTGAAGTGAAAATATAAAGACATTTCTCTTTAAAAAAAACTTCGATATATGATAAAACAACATGCCAAGTATGACGAAGAATGTTAATTAAAATGTGTATCATATTCACATGATACAAATCAATATATGAAGCTGCACAATAACAGAAAATAACATTTATTTAACATTCTGCGTTATTTCTACGTAAGCGAATTGTTCAAACTCAACATTTTATTTCAGTTGTATACAACAATTCATCTCACAGCCCAAATTGTGGCAATATACAAGCTCATAACGTCGGATGCGATACGTAAACAATACAAGCAAAGCACTCACATGTTCCCCTCGCTCTTCCTTCACGGTGACATTATTCCGGAAACCGTGAGTTTAACCAGGTACGCATGCGCTGCAGTGGTTCGATTGTACTCGGGCAAACTCGGCTCCGTTCGCCGATCACATGCGCCAAGCCTGCCCCCTTTCTTCTCTGTGTGGCTCATTTTACGCCATTTTGTCCGCACCACTGTGTTGATTGGGTTTTTGAGATCTGTAGTGGAGCCAATCAGAAGGGAACCGGACAGCCGGAGAAACGGTAAAGGGTTGCGCTTGCTCTAAGGGAAATGGTAGCTGACAACACGGATTGGTTTGTCAGTGACCAACCAAATGACTAATTCCGAAAAATGCAGAAATCAAATCAGTTAATGCGAGAGGGGAGAAAGCGCGAGACAGATGATATGCGCGCTCAGGAGCGGACGCTAAACATGAATGAGACTTTTAATAAAGCGCTTCAAAACAAAGACAGACCTGCTAATGTTTGTCAAATAAGAGCTTTTTATATTAATTACACAGCATGCTGAATTGTAGTACATTTGTTGCAGCTTAGTTTATAACAATGATCAACTGATGTTTACCAAACAAACCTTATGAGGTGGATGAAATGGCACAAATTTGTGAATCATTAAGACTTTCATGATAATCTTTTACAATCTTAAACGTGTATGTGCATCTAAAACCATCAAAGTCAGTGGGTAATATAACATTAAGTTCATAATGTTAAGCACTTTCTTCAAGGAAACATTTAGGCTCAAATACACTTGGCTTGAGGCCCAAACCTGCAGCTATTAACATATTTCTCAGAAAACTTTTAATAGAAATTTACTAGAGTTATTTATAGTCAATAATAACCTTGTGATTCTTTTATATGTGTATTTTATTACAAATTAGGTGAGGAAGAAAAGATGGAGCAATATACAGCTACAGCCAGTGGGGATCAGATAGTGGTTCAGGCTGCCAATGGGCAAATCCAACAGCAGGTAAGAGCCAATGTAAACATGTTACTGTTTAATCAGTGACTTTTACTATGGAAAATGGGGCACAATGAGTGTGTGCCCGATATGTTTTCCATTTTTATTGTATCTAATTTTAGCTTTATGCAGATGTGTATCAGGTGCAGTGGTATTTTTAAAAAGCACAAGCGGTACTTCAGGAAGTGATTTCCAATTCAAGGAAAGGACTGGGTAAATAGTGTTTGAACTAGCTTGCAAAGTCTCTCTATTTAAATGAGCATTCTCTGTTTTGAAAAAAACGCAAGGTTTAGGTGACCCAAACACACCCAGTGCATTTTGCAACACTGTGAGTCAGAAAGACAATATTTATATGTACACTATCAGTCAATTAATATCTTCAATGAAGCTCTTCTGCTCTCCAAGTCTACATTTATTTGATCAAAAATACAATAAAAACTGTAATATTATGATTGTAAATACATAGAAAGATTTAATTTATTCCCATGATTCGATAAGCCTCATTATTAGTCTTGAGTGTGATATGATCATTAAAATATATTTTTAGAACTTTACATTTATTTTTATTTAGGTTAATATAGAATTATACTAATTGATATATATTTATACTAATTTATATTAGATATATTTATACACACACAAAAAACAATATCTAATTTATGCTGCATATTGTAAACATCCGTAGTACATAGGTTACGCATTCATACTATACGAATCGGAGTGCATATCATTATACAAAAGGAGTATTTAAAATCAAAAAAGTCCCCAGTCCATTCTAAGAGCACTTTTTTTTTCGACATACAGTTCAAGTTAGAATCATTAGCCCCAATTATTATTTTTTCCCCAATTTTTGTTTAACAGAGAGATTTTCTCAGAACATTTATAAACATAACAGTTTTAGTAATTTTTCTCGTAATGCTTCTGACTGTGCACACTGTCTTTAGCAAACCCGTTGCATGGAGAGTTGTTTGCGTATGATATTGGGGTTTTAAAAATAAGGAACTCTCTCTATGTTTTTTGATATCCACATCTTGTTTGTGGTAATTCAGTCTTTAAATTTTTTTTTTATCCCATTTCATTTTTGTATATAATGTCAAGCAGTGAGGAGTGATTGTGAAGGGAGTGGGGTTTGAGGGAGAAGATGCAAAGGCACTTTAATTTTGAGAAGGAACTTTTTCTGCAAGAGAAAAAAAGGGCTGGTGCTCAAGCATCAGAAGCCCCCCTCTGCATGTACCTGTCGAGGAGTATTTGTAACTAATCAACAATTAAATTAATCTGGGTAGTGTTTATTTCTCTGTATCCATTATAATTTAGGGGGTGGATATCATTTAATCGCATTTTTATTTTTGTTGTGGATATCTCTAAATTGTACCCCAGAAATCATTTTAAAGGATGTGATGTTTATGCCGCTCCTGAGTGTCTTTTTTTCTGTTCCAAGATACATGAAACAAATGCCATATCAATATAAACTGTAGTGTCATACAACCACATCTACGTAGTCTATGTTGATTTGTGAATATATACATGTGTAATTTTGTGTACTTTATCTGCTGACATGGTGCAGGTAAATTTGCAGTACTTGGGGCTGAGCAAAAAGTTGCAGGCTGCAGTTCACCTAACAGCCACTGGTATCACTAAACAAAAGTTTTAGATTAAAAAAAAAAATGTTTTGGTTTACTCGAAAATGAGAATTCTGTTATTAATTACTCAACCTCATTTTTTTAATGCCCCAAGACATTTGTTCATTTTTGGAACACAAATTAAGATGTTTTAGATTAAATCGGAGAGCTCTCTCAGCCTCCATAGAAAGCAACTGTCCTCAGACATTACAGAAAAGGAACCGAAAACTTGGTCAAAGCTTTCCATGTGACTTTAGTGGTTTAATTATTTTCGTATGAAGCTTCAAAAACATTTTTTGTGTGCCAAATTTTTTTTGCATTTTATTAACTATAAGCAGTTTAATGCTTGTGTCTTGCCCTGCTGACTCTAATGACAATACGTTGTAGGAAGTAAATGTACACTTTGACCTGATTTGGCAGATAAGATATAGGACTGAACTAAGCTGAACTTCAACTGTGAAAACTAGACTGAAGGAGTTTGAATTTAGTAGAATTTCATCTAAGTTAAGCTGCTTTGACACAATATACATTGAAATTAAGATGAATTAAAATGTAGAAATGTTTTGACAAGGTTTTTGGTTTTCTTTGTTGACGTTTTGTGTTTTGTGAGAGTAAAAGTAGTCTTGTTTTTGTATAAAATATCTTGATTTGTGTTCTGAATATGAATATAGTCCTCAAGGGGATTAAAACCAAATGGGTGTGAGAAACTTATTACTTAAATTTTTATTTTTGGGTGAACTAACCCTTTAAGAAGCGTTTCTGAATTCTACATAGCCCCTTTACACTGTGGATATAGGAATTACAGAATCAGAGTACAATCAAATATACCTTCGTGTTAGACAATATGCGGATCAAAGTGTGATGTGGGATTGTCCACAGGCTCAGGGCACTGTAACTGCAGTACAGCTGCAAACAGAAGCACCCGTGGCTACTGCTACAGGCCAGCAAGTGCAGACGCTCCAGGTAGTTGTGTGAACTCCGACTTTCAGGCCTGTGATGTTGCATGCGTCATCATGTCACACTCTTTGTGAGATATAAGCTCATCCTAGCATGCCTTGATTTTACTTGCACTATTCTACCATGCTCATTGTTAAATGTGGCATTGAAATATCAGTGCAGGACTCGTCATGTGGAGTAACTGTGGAAATCCTAACATAAGATCACCTGCATGTTGGAACCAATTCATATCCGAGTATATCACTCTATTAGGGGTGTGAGATTAAAGCTAAAAATAATCAACTTTATTTTTGACAATGTTTGTGTTTTTGTTCTGGTACTTTGTCTGAGTTCAACCGGTCATGGATAAATACGTTGTAGCAAGTTCCCATCTTAAAGATCCTGTGAGGTACTTTGAAATGTGCAGTGTTTTAAATTCGATGTTTGACGTAATCTCAACTAAAAAGTAAAGAAAAGGCGGGACATATAATAGCTCCTCCCCTTAAAAAAACAGCCAGTTCTTGTTTTGTTTTTATCACAGCTCTGTCAGTGAGAGTGATTGACAGTTATGACACTAGCTAATAGATATCCTTAAGACTAACAGACTGAAACTAATTAATTTCATGGGATCTTTAAAGAGCGTGTCATTTAATCATTTATTCAAATGAGTCATCCTAATCACTGAGAAACAAAGCAAGTAAACTATCTTTGTTGATTGGTGAGTCATTGACTCACTCGATTGACTCAACAGCATATTGGCAAAAAGCACCTGGCAGTGTTGACAAAATCAACTCTTAATTTTTGTTGGACTATTATTAAATTAATATCATTTATTGGCTGATATTTGGGAAAACATCTCTTGATTGTGTGATGTTACTTAGCGATATCATATCTCACAAAAATAAAAACCTAAAAATTTTTTTTTTTTTCATTTCTCGAATTAAAGGGTCATATTATAACCTTATTTCCTTCGGTTTTATCTGGAAATTAATGCTTTTTGATTCTCTAAGTGTTTGTTTTTTTATTTGCCCAATGTAGTGACGTACTCTAACGTCATGTCACTCAGTGTTAAAACAGCAATTACATTGTATTGTAGATCACAAATATTGCACACCTCTAAACTGTATAGATCTGAATTAAATGCATGATTGATTGTCTTCACAGGATTCTCATTATGATCATGTTCATTTTAGAATACAAACGTGGAAATACACTGACTGGCCACTTTATTAGGTACACCTTACTAGGCTAGACCCCCCTTTGCTTTAAAAACTGCCTTTATCCATAGTGGCATAGATTCAACAAGGTACTGGAAATATTCCTCAAAGATTTTGGTCCATATTGACTTGATAGCATCACGCAATAGCTGCAGATTTGTCGGCTGCACATCCATGATGTGAATCTTGCGTTCCACCACATCCCAAAGGTGCTTTATTGAATTGAGACCTGGTGACTGTGGAGACCATTTGAGTACAGTGAACTCATTGTCATGTTCAAGAAACCAGTCTGAGATGATTCACGCTTTATGAAATGGTGCGTCATCCTGCTGGAAATAGCCAACAGAAGATGGGTACACTGTGGTCATAAAGGGATGGACATGGTCAGCAACAATACTCAGGTAGGCTGTGGTGTTGACACGAGGCTCAATTGGTACTGATGGGCCTAAAGTGTGCCAAGAAAATATTCCCCACAGCATTACACCACCAGCAGCCTGAACCATTGATACAAGACAGGACGGATCTATGCTTTCATGTTGTTAAAGCGAAATTCTGACCTGACCATCCGAATGTCACAGCAGAAATCGAGACTCGTCAGAACAGGCAACATTTTTCCGATCTTCTATTGTGCAATTTTGGTGAGCCTGTGGGAATTGTAACCTCAGTTTCTTGTTCTTAGCTCACTGGAGTGGCACCTGGTGTGGTAACTGCTGCTGTAACCCATCTGCCTCAAGGTTCAACCTGTTGTGCATTCAAAGAATGCCTAAATGCATTGAGTTGCAGCCATGTGATTTTCTGATGAGAAATTTGCATTAATGAGCAGTTGGATGGGTTTACCTAATAAAGTGGCCGGTGAGTGTATAGCTACCTCATTACCACCAGCCTGGTAACTTTCAACTATTATAGGGCCCTAAATTGAAATAATATAAGTAACTCTACAAGCTTAGCAATTAAAATGGATTTTTTTTCATATTTCAGAATGGTCCCATATTGTCTTATATTGTCTCTATTTTGCGGGTGTAAAATATCTATCACCCGTTGACTTTAAGTGTGTGTTCAGGTGCAGGGTCAGCCACTGATGGTGCAAGTGAGTGGTGGTCAACTGATCACGTCGTCAGGTCAGCCCATCATGGTGCAGGCCATGTCTGGAGCTCAGGGTCAGACCATCATGCAAGTGCCTGTATCTGGAGCTCAAGGTCTTCAGCAGGTCAGTTGTCAACACTCCTCAGTGTAAGGAAATATGCTTAACTTGATCTAAGGTCAAATCACGTCCTATGTGTTATTTAGAACTTTTTTAAAGCAGCTTTGCAAAAGAGACATGTTAATAAATGCCCATTTTATGCCTTTTGGACAAAAATCTTTCATGTTATGTACAGTAATCCAGTTGTTTGTGTATGTATGAAGTCTGCAAACATCAAAAGCGGATTACAGACATAGTCTTTGTCTGCCACAAAATATTTTAAACAGGCCTGTTATGCCTTTAATTTGACAATAATGAACAAAGCTATTACAGTAATCACAGTCACCCATCTGCTCTTTTTTGTATTTAATTGGTTTTCTTTCATTAATGTATTTGGGTGTTTTTTTCTGCATTACAGCTGTCAGTGTAGTTATATTTTAAAGGATGTGTATGTCAAAATTGTAGTACTGTATTGCATGTTGTGATCCAAATTAAAGTATATGTGAATAAATAAATAGAGGCACTTAAAAGCCTCATGTCTTTATAGCTGCATTCATCAGGGCAGAGCTGTATTTATTGACTGTTCTATTATACTTGATGGTAAAATGATCAAAAAAAAAAAAGTGATGTTATTATAAGATTATTCTCTTCATTGTTATGACATTTCATGAAACCTCTAAGATGATAATTGGTCTAGGTTTAAATGTTCTTAATATCCCTTTGGTAGTGTCATTATTAATGCACAGGTTTTTTTTAAACATTGGTGTTATTTATATTGGGTGATTGATCTCTTTGTATATGTAGATCCAGTTGGTTCAGCCTGGTCAGATTCAGTTGCAGGGTGGCCAGACGCTGCAGCTGCAGGGTCAGCAGGGTCAAGCTCAACAGATCATCATCCAGCAGCCACAGACTGCCATCACCGCCGGCCAAAACCAGGTCTCTGATAAACTATAATAAATCCTTTTTCTACTAGATTTGTTTTTAAGCGTTTTATGGATGGTTACAATTCCATTTGTAAAAAAATCCAAATAAAAATTATAAAATGAATAACACTCGTGCCGTTTTGACATTTTGCTTAACAGTTTGCACCATGCCACTGATTAACTATAAGGCAAGGCAAGTTTATTTATATAGCAGATTTCATGCACACACAGTGGCAATTCAAAGTGCTTTACATAAACAGGAATAAAAGAGACAAGTATAAGAAAATAAGACAAACAATAAAAATAATTAAAAACAGATTAAATGTGTTAAAACAGGTTATAAAAGGTGCGATCTGTCGGACGTAGCACATTGCTCTTTATTATAAAGAATTGGTTTAACTGGTATACCCCAAATTATTATATATTATGTAGTACTTTATTCAACATTTGTTATACTATAAATGTGAAGCTATTAATAATTTTATTCACAGGTGTGTTTAATTTATCTACAAATGAATCGCATTATACTTGTTTGTCTATTATTAAGCTTTTATATGTTCATGATCAGGCCCGAGCAGAGACCGTCCAAAGTGCATGTGATGTGCAGGATAAATTTTTGGAAAAGCGGGGGGGGCACGTGCCTGTTCATGATCATTCATTCAATAACTTTTTGACGGCTTAGTTCCTTTATTATTCTGGGGTCGCCACAACACAATGAACCGCCACCTTATCCAGCATATTTTGTAGGCAGCGGATGCCCTTCCTGCTGCAACCCATCACTGGGAAACATGTATACGTGCATTTACACACACTCATACACTATAGACAATTTTAGCATACCCAATTCGCCTGTACCGCATGTCTTTGGACTGTGGGGGAAACCGGAGCACCCGGAGGAACCCACACAAAAACAGGGAGAACATTACAACTCCACACAGAAATGCCAACTGGCCCAGCCGAGGCTCAAACCAGTGACCGTCTTGCTCTAAGGGGAACGTGCTACCCACTGTTCCACCTACGTTTTTTTTTTTTCTCCATTCATTCTGAGAGTGCTATGAAAATAGTACTTATGCCGGCATGGTGTTGCCAGCATCTAACATAAATCAGTAAATCAGTAAGAATGTGTGATGCATTTTGCAGGGGCAGCAGATCACAGTACAGGGACAACAGGTTGCACAAACAGCTGAAGGACAGACAATTGTGTACCAGCCTGTGAACGCTGATGGCACAGTGCTGCAGCAGGGTATTTAAATGCACACCTACACCCTCTTTACTCTCATTATACTGTAGTAAACCAGAATGAACAACACCTGAATGATCAGTAATATTTCATTTGACTAGTTCCACTCATGTTTATTCAGGTTACTTAATAGTCCTGTCACCTCCACAGGCGTGATCACCATCCCAGCAGGCACCCTGGCAGGCACTCAGATTGTCCAGGCAGCAGGAGCAGCTAACACCTCCACAACCAACAGCGGGCAGGGCACAGTCACTGTTACCCTGCCCGTATCTGGAAACATGGTGAACGCTGGGGGAATGGTCATGGTAAGACCTCCTGATGAGGTATCTAACAGTCTTAAACCGTCCCCTTCATTGGTCATCACAAGGGTGGTGGGTGCATGCTGTTAAATACAATATCACCTCAAAATCTCGCCATTTTCACATGCAGATCCAGCCTACTGAAAATAAAAGACGATGATTTAATGATTTTCTTTAGTTTTTGAGATATTTTAGGGCGTACTTACACTGTGCTATCCGAACCATGCCCAGGCCCAAGTGTTAGTGCTCTGAATTGGGCTCAGGCACGATTCAGTTTGCCGGCCTTGACCTGGTTGGGCTCAGGCGTGGTACGCTTCCTCCTACTTCCCGCAGTATGAGGACTTTATGGTTGTTTATGAGCGTCAAAAGTGGCCGATCTGTATGGCGAAATATTTGACTGCCTGGCACCACATCCCAAACGACTAAAACAATTTAACTAAAGAAATCTCCACTGTGCTGAGGGAAAGCGTTTGCTGAACACCGCATCATTGATGATGTAAGCATGCTCAGGCCCGAATCTAATGTGTGTGCGGGCCGTCGGAGGAGACGGAAGGAAGGACAAGCATGTTTCGGCCGGGTTCAAGGCAACTGTACATAGTGTGAGTACGCCCTTAGTATGATTTATTTATCGGAGTGTCTAGTTTCAAAGTGAGAAGTATCATATAAACAGTGACATTTCAGTAATTTATGGCTGTAGTACATAGTGGGTTTTAGAACTTCTGCATAAAGATGGTAAACTTCTGGTGAAATGTAATTTGATATGTCAGTTGATCAGTACTTTCAGGTTACTAGGCAGCACCAGGGCAGCACCTTTAAAAAGAGATAAAGTTAGATAAAAAAATGTGTAAAAAATAATAAAATGACAATTAGTTGAGTTTAAAGGCATTTAAATTCCTGTGAAATGCCATCTGATGCTTTATCAGCATCAATAAATTTTGTTTACAATCAGTTAAATAGTCAAAACTAGTTTTTTTTACACTTCAAAGTTAAATGGAGTTAAAGTTGATAGGTTATTTTAACTACACTGAAAGGGATAGTTCACATAAAAATGTCTCAACCAAAAATGGAACCACTCGCCCTTATGTGGTTCCAAAATTGTGCGAGTTTCGGTTCTTCTGATGAGCACAAAAGAAGATATTTTGAAGAAAGCTGAACACCTATAAAGAAATACTATGGAGGTCAGTAGTCGATTTTCAGCTTTCTTCAAAATATCTTCATTTGTGTTTAACTGAAGAAAGAAACTCGTAAAGCTTTGAAACAAGTAAAAGATGTCAGAATTTTCATTTTTGGGTTACTAATTTATTCAACTTTGCACCGTGTCGCATTGAGTTCAAAACAAAAACATAATACAGGTGTCTGATGTAAAATTACAACTTTTCATATTTTTTTTCCATGAAAGAGCAAATCTCATCTCAACAACACAAGGGTGTAAATAATGGCTATAAGTGTATGCGTAAGTATTTTAGGTCAACTATTTATTTCGTATCAAAGCATTCAGTGTAGAAAACAACAGAATGTGAGGAATCTTCCTGGAATTTGACGATTTTCTCAGAAGCATGTGGAAAGTGGCGACCTCCGTCCTCTGTGTGTTAATCTTTAGCGCTGATTCAAGTATAAGGCTGAAATCTGCCCATCGTCTTGTCCACTAATGATCCACTCGGCTATTCTGTGGGTGTCCTTCTCTCACACTAGTGTCATCATATTTCAGTCCATGTTATGTTAACTGTTACCTGACCAATCACGGGGTTGATAATTAATTTGATTTTAATGGTTGACTGAAGTTGCAAATACAGGCCATGTCCACATGTGCACAAGTATTTTAATAAATGCTTTTGTTTTTTTAAAAACCTCCGCCCATATAAGAACACAAAAATGGACCCTGATGCATGTAATAACATTTTTTTATGCTGCTATACCAAACAGGGAATTTAGAGTAAAATCAATGCAAACATGAGAACAGAGGTAGATTACTGTCCCGCGGTCGAAGAATGCGGGATACACAATGTGTTTGCTGTGAATGTTTGAAACTTGCGTCATTCGTGTCTTCAGCTGTGGTCACACTGGATTTTACGCCCCATAGACTTCCATTCATACGCATGCAAATGCAGCAGACCATAAACGCAAGATTGTGTGAAAAGTTTCGCATATTGCTGCATTGCAAAGTAGGACTGGGTGATATTGCAAAAAAAAATTACGATACCATGTTTAACAATATCATGTTTCATATTATTCGATTTCGATAATTATTGACTATTTTTAACAATACATTTACGAATATTTTTTTTTTTATTTAACCACTTTATTTTAATTAACCAACAGTACTAAGGCAAATACTTTTAATAGTCAAAAACAAAAATATTTAAACAAAATATCTGATCTTGTAATAATAAAATAAACATAATTGTTAAAGAGACTCTTGATGTTACTCTGTTAATGTTACAAAGTGTGCAGTGGTAAAGGTAGATCAACATCTGTAAGGTGTCAGTTATAATGATACAGTAAACCTCAAACTCTGTCAACAAAACAAATTAACATAATCAAATCAGAGCTTTCAAGTGAAGGAACCAACCATCATTGTTCCAATAATATGTACTGCAACATTACAAATTGTGAAGTTGAATGTCTACATTACCCCATGCTAAAAATATCTTTCAGATTGGGAGCTAGTGGCTGAAATGCACTAGAAAAGAAACCAAAAAGCCACTCTGACTACATATTTTTTATTTACAATCTCGTGTTTTTATTCTGACCTGAAGTAACAAGCATGAGTGTGTGGATTCCTTGATCATTTGCAAAAACATAAAACCCAAAACCGAAACTCCTTACCAAATTTTTTTTAATCAATTTTGACAGGTGTTCAGTCAGTAAATACCGATTTTATCGCCCAGCCCTATTGCAAAGTTCAAACTTAGTGAACTCTGACCTGCGAAATTACATTACGTGATCGCGTGAGACCAATTAAAACATGACCTCTCTGTAGAGACATTCAAAATACGGAGCAATTACTCGCTTTTTTATTGTCTAATCATCTTTTTTAGTTGTACCACTTTTTCGTGTGAACCCAGCCGTGTTGGCCAATCAGAAAGGAGAAAACAGCGAGCACACTGACGTCATGAGGCAAAAGTTCCTGTTGTAGTGTCCACGCCAACACAAAGTTTTGGAAAATCTTCACCCAGGTCGGAGTTTTCAGAAAGTTTCGGTTTCAGTCACGCGTTGCACAATTTTCGTGTGGTCAAGCAGCAAAACTGCATAGAAAAAAATGTTGTGTGATTTTTGAATACATGTGGACAGGGCCACATTTTGTGTTGCATTTCGACTGTATTAACACCATGTTCCCCTTCTTTCCCTTTCAACTTAGATGGTACCAGGCAGTGGTGCAGTGCCAGCCATCCAGCGAATCCCTCTGCCAGGTGCTGAAATGCTTGAAGAGGAGCCGCTGTATGTTAATGCCAAGCAATATCATCGCATCCTAAAGAGGCGCCAAGCTCGGGCAAAACTGGAGGCAGAGGGAAAAATCCCTAAAGAGCGAAAGGTGAGTCTTACATCTTACATCTTCCGAATGCTGTCATATGCGCATCTTGAAATAAATGATCCAGACTGACCCCACACTCCATCCTACAGAAATACCTTCATGAGTCACGACACAAACATGCCATGCAGAGGAAGCGCGGCGATGGGGGCCGGTTCTTCTCCCCGAAAGAGAAGGAAGAAATGGCCTTGGCGATGCAGGTGAGAGCGCAGGCCCGTATCAAGCAGGAAGACTTCCACAATGCCACCGAATTGGCAAATGCACATTGGCTGCCCGAACACACACCGTCCCTTGCATAAGACACTCATTGAACTCCTTAGCAGATCATTCTCATTCCTCCTCTGGTGTGACATGCTGTTCTTGGCTGCTCTTGCACGAATCACTTCCCGATTCTCTCCCTGTGCTCGTTGGCTGCTTGAGTCTGTCCCATCATGTCTCATTGCTACAACAGACTGCATGATCTGCATAATCTGCTTTTTCATGGCCTGTCTGTCTGAGTGTGGATGTCCATTTTTAAAAAGAAAAAAAGATCATCTCATCATCAGTCAGGATGAAAACACTGATATTATTGGCACGCAGCTCTTCAGGATGAAGGATTGCTAATGCCATGTGATTGGCTTAATCATGTGACTGTCAGATCTAAACATCATTATTATTAAACAGCATGGAGGTTAAAGAAAGCATGAAATTTTCAATCATGAAATCACTGAAATAGGATTTTTTTTTTACTGTTATTTTTGAGGGATCGGTTTGTAAAAGAAACGTGGTTTGTTTGAATGTATATATTTTTATTTCTTTTGTAGAACCTCTTTTGTTGTGTTGTTTGTGGATGGGTCCTGCTGCTGTGCTTTTTCTTGGTTTTCATACAGTGTCTGCACTGTTCATTTTTTGTCACATGTTGTGATTTTTATACTGAATAAACATTCTGACAAGATTCAGAGGAAAAAACTAAATTTATTACCAAAATCAACTATCATGTTTGGTGTCTGAGATTTGTTAATATATATATATATATATATATATATATATATATATATATATATGGGTCAGTGACAAAACAGGTTTGGCAAGATGGGAAATTTAAAAATCTTTTACAAAGTTGATTTAAAAGCATCCGTCAGATATTTTAAAATGTACAGATTGTATTCATGTTGATTTTATGTAATTAAAAATAACATTTACACCATTTTTTACAGACATTAAGACTGAATGCAACTGAAAATGTCAAATGGTGTAACTGCCAAAAATTGTGAAATATTAAATAATTTACTCCTCCTAGATGATATGCAAGTGTACACACTGAAATAAATACTTCATTTTAAAATACCACAATAACATTTATTGTATTCGCATTATCTCTAAATGTACATTTTAATGAGTTTTTGCAATATTCGGCCAGACACATGCTAAAAACACTTCTGGTTTCTAAATAATCTTTGACAAATTATGTAAAAAATGTTAAAAACTATTTTATTACACTAAACTAAGTGTTTTAATTTTAATTTCACATTATTTCCATGTACATAATTATATTTTTATGTAAAATACTGGTTACACCAATTGACAAAAACCAGTTACACCACCTGACAGTGTTGCTTCTACAGCCAAAGATTTTGAAATTGACAATTAAAATCAATTCAAATTAAGAATGATAGTCAACAATTTCAGTGGGATTGTCATTGACAAATGTGTTTAGAACAATGAAACCAGGTTGCTGAACGTTAATACACCAAGTAATAACATCCTTTACATTAAATGTGTGGCCCTCATCAATAGAATATTAACTAACTAAAGAAACATGTTTAACATTTAACACCTTTTCCATCACTGTTTCTTTTCAGTTGGCTTAATTAAAATAAAAATAAGTAGATGATATTAGAAAAAAATCCACTATTTTACTTTTAAGCTATTTAGAAACAATTTGCCAAACACTGTACGTAAATCACTAGTACGTAAGAACTGCTGCTTACTCGTTGTTGCCTTGGTGCTGGGATTAAAGGCCAATTTTTGTAAGCGTACACGACTGACTGACAACAAATAATTTCATGAGTGTATCCACAACTTATCCACAAACTATTTATTTTATACAGTTAACTTCAGAATTATTATTAGTCCCCCTGAGCTATTAGCTCCCCTGTTATTTTTTCCCCAATTTCGGTTTAACAGAGAGAAGATTTTTTCAACACATTTTCAACACATAATAGTTTTAATAACTCATCTCTAATAACTGATTTATTTTCTCTTTGCCATGATGACAGTAAATAATATTAGACTAGATATTCTTCAAGACACTTCTATACAGCTTAAAGTAGCATTTAAAGGCTTAATTAGGTTAACTAGGCAGGTTAGAGTAATTAGATAAGTTATTGTATATCCATGGTTTGTTCTGTAGACTATCGCGGGGAAAAAGCTTAAAAGGGCCAATAATTTTTACCTCAAAATGGCTTTTAAAAATTGCTTTTATTCTAGCCTAAATAAAACAAATAAGACTTTCTCCAGAAGAAAATTTTTTATCAGACATGCTGTAAAAAACCCCAAACAAAACTGATTTCAACTGCAATTCATTTGTTTAGCAACTTCTGACTTGTTCTTCACAACTTTTCATCATTAAAGTTCCTCCGAGTCACCTCCAGTTGTTAATAATAATAGTACAACAGCAAGCGCATCAAGTATGAAAACCTCCAAAACTTAAGGCTGTGTGCACTCAGTCTATAGAGGCTTGTCAACCTTGTTTCATTTCCCATGTTAATTTTTTCTTTTATTTAAAAAAGAAATTCCCAAGTGCTCTTTAACAGAGAGAATATTATTGTCAACACATTTCTAAACAAAATAGTTTAAATGACTAAATTCTAATAACTGATTTCTTCCGTAATCTTTGCCATGATGACAGCACATAATATTTGACTAGATAATTTGTAAGACATTAGTATTCAGCCTAAAGTGACATTTAAAAATGTAATTAGGTTAATTAGGCAAGTAAGATCTATTGGCCAAGTCATTGGGTAACTGTGGTTTGTTCTGTATTTAAGAAGGCTAACAATATTGACCTTAAAAACTGCTTAAACATTTTAAAAACTGCTTTTATTCTATCCAAACTAAAAGAAATAAGACTTTCTCAAGAAGAAAAAAAATACTTACAACATTTCAAAGGAGGGTGATACAGTGGCTAATGTGGTTAGCACAGTTGTCTCACAGCAAGAAGGTTGCTGGTTTGAGTCCAAGATGGACCAGGATGGCTTACTGTGTGGTGTTGACATGGGTTTCCTCTGGGAGCTCCAGTTTCCCCCACAGTCCAAAGACTTGCGGTATAGGTGAATTAGAAAAACTAAATTGACTGTGTATGAATGTGTGTGTTAATGAGAGAGTGTGTACATTATATTGTGTGAATATAAACATGGATTAACATAAACAAAAAAAAAACATTCATGTTGTGCAGTAAAATAATTTTATCCTATGTTTACAGAGCTTTAATAGTAAGGTTGTGGATTAAGCACCTATTTCTCAAACAAAAATAAATAAATAATCTACACTATGAACACAAATAGTAGTTTAATTTATGTCGCATTTTTGATCAGCATCATGAACTAATGATATTTGACTAAATTGACCCCTGACAGAAAGACTCCTGCTATACGAGTCAAATGGTGTAACCAGTTACACCCCTTGACATTTCAACTTAAAATGAAATTTGACAGGCATTATCAATAACATCTATGTAAGCACATGGGCTTGGTGGGAATATTTCAAATTTAACTTTTAAATATAATACTTATTTTTATAATTATGAACAATTATCAGTGCATTTCTGGGGTCTTACCATTTGACATGCATATCTAAGAATAGCTGACCATACCTTAAAAAGGTCAAAGTATCTCACATTTTAAAAAGAGTTACTAACCTTTGCATGCAGCAATTAGTCTTATCAAGAGTTCTTCTCTGTGATTCAATTTCCTGTCTAACTGTCTTGTGCACAATATTAACAAAATGGCTCAATAAATGGTGGTTACACCATCTTGACATTTCAGAAATTTGAGGTGACAGAAAAAATTCCCCAAATGAATTATAATATTTAAAACAATTGTGCTATATTTACCTTTATTTACTATTAAATATGTCTAATGTAAAATTATGCCAGACTAGCCGATACAATGTTTCATTGAGGCTTTCACATTTTTTAAACAAGGTAAACTATTTGGTACCAATTTTTTTTGGTTACACCACATTGACATTCTTGCAATAATCCCCTAAAAATTTTCTTAAAATGGATTAAAACCAAAAAATTAAACTTGGTCCTCAAAATAGAGAATGTATGCAAGTAATTTGCTTATTTATTTTGAAACTGTAACCTACTTGAATTTATTTAAAAGACATGGACACAAAAAAATGAGCGTCACGTCATTGACCCATATATATATATATATATATATATATATATATATATATATATATATACATATATATATATATATATATTGCTGTAGGATACATTAGATCAGGGGTTCCCAAACTTTTTAGCCCGTGACCCCCTAAAATATCAATGCCAGTTACTCGTGACCCCCAAATTCCTTGGAGGGGGTTATAAATATACAAACGTTGCACACATATTAATAAGCTTATATAAACATGGGCATGTTGACAACACAAAAAAGTGCACGTCATTTGTTTATTTAACTCAACTAAAGAGACTGGTGGACACAATGTTTTCAGTACAAGTCTATTCTTGGTTTAATTTTGGAGAGCGCCAGTCAGAGATCATTCTCAATGTTCAGATGTGGCCTGTATTCATTTTTTAATGTATTTGATTGCCATAAAGATGTTAAAGTTTAACCTGGTGCTATAAAATCAACCTGCTGCATCTGACGCTATTGCGGTGCTGTTAAGCTAACATAAACAAACCAATTCTGTCAGTGCAATAGCCTTGTGGTTAGCATGCCAACATATGGTACTGTAGCATGTCAGGGCGTCCCGAGTTCAAATCCTGGCTTAAGGACATTTCCCTACCGTACCCCCCTCTCTCTCTCTCTCTCTCTCTCTCTCTCCAACTTCGCTTCCTGTCTTAATACTGTCCTGTCTAATAAAGCCAAAGAGGCCAAAAATAAATCTTTAAAAAAAAAAACTAATAAAAAAAACAAACTAATCCTATGAAAAAATAGTTAAAAGGCTGATGACTTTTCATTTGCATGTTGTTTTTTTTACTAGTATTAAATACTTCTGTTTTTATTTTCTGTGGGTTATGGTTAAAATATGGTATTTCTAATAGTTTAATAAAATTTATTTGACTTTTGGAATCACCAAACGATCCCCACTTTGGGAACCATTGCATTAGTTCAGGGACGGCCTACCCTGTTCCTGGAGATCTACCTTCTTGCAGATTTCAATTGAACCCATATCAAACACACCTGCCTGTAATTATCAAGTGTTATCCTAGTTAATTTGGTTCAGGTGTGTTTGATCAGGGTTGGAGCTAAACTCTGCAGGAAGGTAGATCTCCAGGAACAGGGTTGAGTATACTTCTGTTGAGATTATCAGAAGTGACAATAAAGACTTTTACATCGTTACAAATTCCATTTAACTTTATTAAAATCACAAGTAACACACTCAAAATGTGGTTTTGAAACATTTTCATGTCGATAAAAAGTGGTCACTTTTTGCAAAACCATTTCATGTATATCATATATCCTGCACATATGGTTTTAACATCTGATTGCAAGTTTTTTTTTTTAAAATAGACAAGCGGTATTCTTTCGAACTGCATATTTCAGAATCCATATATATATTCAAGTATATTTATTTATATATTTATACAATGTAAAACATCTAATGACAAAAAGTCGAGACAACAAATATTCTTATGTTGCATTAACTTTTTTACTTTTACTTTTTGAAATTATACATTATGCATAAAAAAATTAGGGCAGCAAGATTTTTTTACAGGATGCAGTTGTGCTGCTGCTACTGCTCCAAGAGTGAGGAAAGGTATTGACAAAACCTGCATACAACAGAGATAATGAAACATGCTTTAAGAAGGAACTTCTTAGCAAAGAACCAGAAAACCCCTCTTGCAGGTCTAGACAAGAGGTGCTGGGGAAGGAGGGCTTAGGAATATCCCTAGGGTGGATAGCGCTAAGTTGAGTCACAATGGAGATGAATAGGATGAGATTTGTGAGGCCAATGACTAGAGCCAGACACAATCTGCGGACATTTTTGGCTTTTTCTGTGCAATATTTTGTAAAATAATCTGCAGATTTATGCCGAAAGATTTTGGGAATGTCATAGCTAACAATGCAATATATTAAATGTAATATATTTTTCTTTTTTACTTTTATTTAATGTTTACAATGCAAATCCAATTAGATCCACTTATTTGGTAAAAAAAAGCAAATCTCTCATTTGGTAAACAAAGTCATATCTCATAACATTTTCATATTAGTAAATATTATTACTAAAATTAATTTAAAAAATGAATAAAAATAAATTTACACATATTTACACAAGTAAATAAACACACTCAGTGATGGGCTAAAAATCAATGGATTTCAGATTCCGTTATTTCCTTCCAATGACTTATATAGAATCAATCAGCTGTAAAGAATATATATATATAAAAGTATACACACACACACACACACACACACACATACATACAGTTGAAGTCAGAATCCCTTCGGGGTTTTTTTGTCTTTTTTTCAAATATTTCCAAATGATGTTTAACAGAGCAAGGAATTTTTCACAGTATGTCTGATAATATTTTTTCTTCTGGAGAAAGTCTTATTTGTTTTATTTCATCTAGAATAAAAGCAGTTTTTAATTTTTTTAAACCCCATTTTAGGGACAAAATTATTAGCATCTTTAAGCGATATTTATTCTCAATCTACAGAACAAACCACTGTTATACAATAACTTGCCTAATTACCCTGACCTGTCTAGTTAACCTAATTAACCTAGTTAAGCCTTTAAATGTCACTTTGAGCTGTACAGAAGTGTTTTATAAAATATCTAGTAAAATATAATTTACTGTCATCATGGCCAAGATAAAATAAATCCATTATTAGAAATGAGTTATTAAAACTATTATGTTTAGAAATGTGTTGAAAAAAATCTTCCCTCCGTTAAACAGAAATTGGGGAAAAAATAAACAAGCAGTCTAATAATTCAGGGGGGCTAATAATTCTGACTTTAATTGTATGTGTGTGTGTATATATATGTATATATATATATATAGAGAGAGAGAGAGAGAGAGAGAAGAGAAAGAGACTTTTTTCAAACATGAAACCTTACTGACATCAAATTTTGAACAATATTATAAATGCCTCTCATATTATGATGCAGCTTCAGTTGTTTCTGTTACCGTATAAATGTTTTGGAATTAAAATATTTTTTCCAGAGACTCAATGGATGAAAACAGAGAGACTAACATTAAACATTTCTAAATAACACAAGTCCAAATAGCTGGCATTTCCCTGAAATCCCTGATGTGACAGCTTGGTAAACATAAACCTTTGGCTGGTTTTCTTGGTTATTCAGTGTTTTTCTTTATGGTGCCTCAACTCTCGTGTGCGTGGAAGGTGCTGAGTGAAGCATATGTGAAATCAGCACTGAGGGTAATGATTGACCTTTTTCCTCTTCACTTTCTTCAGCAGGAGCAACAGGACCAGAACCAGACAGGAGATGAGGCCGTGGCCCAGATGATCCGGGTCTCATAGCATTAAAACCACTACTGAGTTTGTACAACAAAGTGACTCAAACACAGCACTAACAGACAAACAGTAATTCGGCCTGGCCTGTTTCTCATGTCTTCCAGTGAAAGGAGGATCTCATTTGTTTTTGTGTCTTCTAATGGTCTGATATTCCTCCAGAGGACGCACATAGAAGGAGCCATTACTGTTAATGTACAGCATAATGAATTCAGCTCGCGTTTTAAAAAGCAATTAAATAGCAAAAGCGTGAATTGACCCTCAGAGAGATGTCGGATTCGTTGTTAGTAATAAGGACTCATTTACTGTGATGTTCCATAATGGTGGCAGTAGAACACATTTTGCCAATGTACTGCATGAAGACCGAGGCGGTCTGTTTGATTTTTTTACTGTTTTGGGAATTCTTGTCAGGTCTATGAACTCATAAGTGAGACGTTACTTGGAAATAATGTAGGTGTTTTCTGTAAATATACATTGTTGTGTTGTTCAGTGAATTTGTACATGTTTGGTGTGTGTGAGCACCGGGGATACAATTAAGGCAAAAGGGCAACATTTTTCAGAAATCAGCCCTGGTCTCCAAGGAAACACAGGGAACATGGGGTGTTCTTGCTTCCCAAGCTTCTGCACAGTACATGTTTCTTTCTAACATGAACTAATTTTACATTAGTGTTTTCATAAAATGATTGTTTGTATTTTGAGTGAATATTTCTGGCTCATTTATAGTTTCTTCTTATGTTCGACATTTTAGTCGTCTAATTGTATTTTGATAAAAAAGTGTGTGCTGAAAACATTGCCACAGATCTTGTTTTGAGAACTTGTCTTTATTATTGTAACCTGTGTGAAGGCAAGAAGGCTAAAAATGATCCTAATTCAAACAGTTTAATCCACTTTGCTACGATTGAAATAAGATATTTTAAGGTAGTGCTCCTAACCTGGGGTCTAGGGTTCAAGAAGATAACTATTTATATAAATGTTATTGCATTTACCTATATATATATATATATATATATATATATATATATATATATATATATATATATATATATATATATATAATATTTTTTTTCTCAGTGAATATAGGCAATGTATTTTGGTGCATTAAGCAAAACAGATATATTTATTTAAATAATATTTTGGCCACCAGACATATTTAGAAATTGAAAGATAATACAATTAAATACAAGCAAAATATTGGAAAAAATTACAACCATTTTTTTGCTTCTCATGAATTTTCCTCTTTGTAAAATTTGCATTTAATATTTTTATATAACATTTAAATTTGGTTGTACTTGTTTTTGGACCATTATAATAAGTGATTTTTTTTAGATAAGCTCCACATTTGACTTCAGTGCTGACTAATCTTATTTATATGCACAAATATAGTATTGCATAGCTTCCTATTAAAAATATACATTTTAAAAGAGAGATTTGTGAGGGGTGGACACTAAAAAATGGATTATGGCTTTAGTTGGTCCAAGGAATGTAACTATATTTAAATTAAACAAAACCAAAAGAGTTGTGTTGGAAAAAAAAGAAAAAGTAAACTTTCACAATTAAACAGCTTGCTTAATTAAAATGAATGAAAGGGAGTTGTGTTGCTTGTGCAGTACTGCATGTTGGTCAATAGTGAACTTAAGTTAGTTCCGTAAAGATAATGTAAGGTTGTTTAGTTCAGTCAACATAACATTCATAATTTAGCTTTAATCTATTTAGTTATGAACTTAAATATCTTTATAAATTAAAGCTGAATTGTGAATGTTATGTTTACTGAACTAAACAACCTTACATTACCTTGATGTAACTAACTTAAGTTCACTAAAATACATATTCTTTCTTTAAGGTAATTGGTGGCACGGTGCCTCAGTGGTTAGCAGTCGCCTCACAGCAAGAAGGTCACTGGTTAGAGTGCCGGCTAAGCCAGTTGAAATTTCTGTGTGGAGTTTGCATGGGTTTTGTTGGATTTAATTTGTTAGATTGGCTGGAATTGTTGGTGGTTCATTCTGCCGAGGCGACCCCTGATAAATAATAGAATTCATACTTTTTCTTCTCAGAATTGCTTATTATTCATTCATTCATTCGTTTTACGCAGCAGATGCCCTTCCAACTGCAACCCATCACTGGGAAAACCATACAAACTCATTCACACACATACATACACTATACAGACAATTTAGCTTACCAAATTCACCTGTACCGCATGTCTTTGGACTGTGGGGGAAACCAGAGCACCCAGAGGAAAACCACGTGAACACAGGGAGAACATGCAAACTCCACACAGAAACGCCAACTGACCTAGCCGAGTTTCAAATCGGCAACCTTCTTGCTGTGAGGCAACAGCACTACCTTCTGCGCCACTGCGTCGCCCCTTGCTTATTATTATGAATAATATAAATATTTTTATTATAAAAGTCATTTACTTTTTTCAGTTTAGCTATTTTTCCTCAGCATTGCAAATTTAGAATAATTCTATGAAAGACAGAAATGTGAGATACAATTAATAGTTACCTTCTTTATTTTGTGGAACAAATCTATACTTTTATCTGCAAACTAAAACATATATACTTTTAAAGTACAGGATAAATGGGGAAATGAAAATCAACTTATTTCCAAAACTGTTTTTCCCCCAATATTTTTTCATACACAAAACCAAAAATACAGATTCATTTTTTTTAGATTTGATTCCATAAAACAAAAACACAAAGCTTCCATCGATCAAATTTGGACTCAATAGGCAAAGGTTGTATGAAACTATAATATAGAAATTTCACAGTTTACTGATATTTATGTGGTTTCGCTTTTTTTAGTAGATGTTATGACAAGCTCAGTCACCATTGGCTTTCAATTTGGAAAAGATGCTACATGAAACGTTTGAGTCTTGCAGTATAAGCAGGTTTGGAACAACATAAGAGTGAATAAAATTTGAGATATGTTTGCTGTGGACATCATGGTGGCGCAATAGGTAGCACGATCGCCTCACAGCTAGAAGGTTGCTGGTTCAAGCCTCAGCTGGATCAGTTCGTGTTTTTGTGTGGAGTTTGCATGTTCTCCCAGTGTTCGTGTGAGTTTCCTCTGGGTGCTCCGGTTTCCCTCACAGTCCAAAGACATGCGCTATAGGGGAAACTGAATAAAACTAAATTGGCCATAGTGTGTGTCTGTGAAAAAGTGTGTATGAGTGTTTCCCAGTGTTGGGTTACGACTGGAAGGGCATCCGCCATGTTAAACATATGCTGGATAGTTGTCGGTTAATTCTGCTGTGGTGACCCCTGATTAATAAAGGAATAAGCTAAAAAGTAAATGAATGAATTTGTGTGTTGTCAGGTTTATGACACATATGTGTATAATAACATGCATATTACATGGGCTACACTGTAAACATGGTTTGAGGACATTCCACATGTCATCATGAGTCAAAAGGCAAAAAAAAAAGTTAAAGTTTAGGAATTTTTTTAAGTTTTCTGTGGCGATTTTATATCTAGGATTAGGGGAAAGGAGACAGAATGTACAGTTTGTAAGCTTACAAATTATTATGTCTATAAAAAGTCCAAACCAACTCCAAAAACAAACGTGTGTGTAAATCAGCTGTCAAGTTTTGTTTTGCTTTATTTTTGAGCTGCTTTTTGACAGGTAAACCTTATGTTCCTCAAGATACATGCTAATATTATTCCTTTAAAATTTTTCACGAGGTCAACACGATATGAAACGTGTTTTTCGTAATAAATGTTTAATGTCTCTACGCTGCTGCTAAACCAGGCTGCTCGTGCAACTTCCTCTGCGCGCAGGTGCTCGAGGCCCCGCCCACCGCTGATGCTGCTGCTGCTGCTGGCCGTCAACCGGACACTCACATACAATAATCTGCGGTCCACTGCGGCTCGGGCTGAAATTACCTTCTCATAAACTCGCATACGCTCGCGTGCGTTTGCCCTCCTCATTCGACAGCTTGTTCTCCTTCCACACGCTTTTTGCGCAATCAGCTCTTCCGCATTTGAGACAGTCGGAGCTTTTAAAGCGCAACATAAGGACGAATCGAAAGGTTACAGTAACAGAGCTGAAGGACTACCGCGAAAACCGCCCGGCGACCGCGCACACTTACAACTGCCATGACAGACTGTGGCGAGGATGCCAAGCTGGAGGCGACGAAACAGGCCAGCAAAGAGTTTAAAGAGAGCGAGAACGTAGCCGAGAAATACTCCGCGATGACAGCCACGAAGCACAGCGACGTGAACATGAACGTCGGAGAGCTGTCCGCCGCGTTCACTGCGGTCCCGACCCACAAATCCGTCAAAAAGGTAAGCGCGCTCGTTAAGAGCCCAAACACGCCTCAGTCTGTGCACCAAAAACACCGCAGTTAAGTTCGGGACGTGTGTTGCTCACTTTACCGGATCATTAGGAAAGATTATCCCTGACAGGAGTTGAACTAGAGGTGTGCTGGAGCCTATTAGAGTCACGTGACGCGCATTTCCAGGCTTTCCACAGTTCTGTTCTCGCCGCATCCAGTAGTACATTTACCGGCTCTGCTCCGGTCGTCATGTTTGGAGAAACCGCTGACCTTTGTGTATTCTCAGATATCACGTAAGCTAAAGGAAATGTAGGGAATTTTATTATTATTATTTTTTTATTGTATCTAAAATTAATCTCTGATTTCTAACACCTGGGATGGTAGTAGCTATCTAGGACAATGTCACAGAGATCAAAGAGTGAAGATACTCAGCAAAGATAGATAGATAGATAGATAGATAGATAGATAGATAGATAGATAGATAGATAGATAGATAGATAGATAGATAGATAGATAGATAGATAGATCATTTACAGTGCAAATGAAATATGATCTTTCTAAGATTGTGTAAATGTTTTCAGGGTGGCCCTCTGGAGTGTGTGTGAGGGGGTGGTAAAGGAGGCACATACTACTCTGCCCACTCGCTCATCGAGTTGTCAGCTGGTTATACAACAGAGCCAAGGGCTGTTCTGCTGCTTCTCTTCAGCTGCATTACACTCAGCGCCAAATCAAATTCACTGCTGATGTTTGCAGAACTCTTTAGTATTAAAAAATCCAATTTAAATAATTATGCAGTGTGCATGTACAGTTATAATACGTAAGTTCTGTACTAAAAAATAGTGTATTAACTGTTAAGGTGCTGTTTGAATGGCAGTCAAAAATGACAATTTCTATTTCATTGACATACATGTAATATATGCTAGTTTAGTTACGTTTGTTATTACATTTTTTGGATCTAGAAGACTCTGGTACTAAATTATATTTAAACAGTTGTTATAATACATTTATGACATATTTATAGCGTTCTAAGCATCTAACTGAAGAAGCATTTCCAGTTTGACTCAAATCTTTAATAATTTAGGCTCATTTTAAATAATAAGATACGCATTAGATAATAGGGCTGCACAATATATTATTTTAGCATCTTTATCGCAATGTGTGTATCCACAATAGTCACTTTGCAAAGATCTGCAATATTGAATTGGGATTATGTTTGGCCAGGAGCCACAGTTCAGAACATAGTTCAGAGTCATTGGAGATTTTAACCATAATGGAGCAAATGTTTATAATTTACATGTTTTTAAGGCATGTGACTAGGGCTGGGCGATATGGCAAAAATGCAACCTCAGTTAAGTATTTTCCATATTAAACGAAAACGATATATATTTCGAGATCAGCTTCCAGATTTAAAAGAGTATCCCAACAATGACTGATGCCACAAAAACTAGAGAGTCCATTAAATAACCTATTATTGGTGGGTGATAATATTTGACAGCCAAAAATTTGGTGCATTAATATCAACACACTTCTTGATTCCCATTGTTCCACATTTCTGCTGTGTGGTTGGCTCTTAGATCAATTTAGAGTAAAAAAAAAGTCCAGAGCTTATCCAGAGCTTATCATCATAAATTTTATTGCGATTCGATATAATATCGTTTATTAGCCCAGCCCTACATGACTGTATGAGCATATCAAGAATGTTCGTTTCAAAGCATTCAGGCACTAAGAATTGTACCGTTTAAAACTTTAATAAAAATATTTTATTGAATTATTTATACAATTAAGATGCTATGTAGTGCTATTTTTGATGATTCTATATCTGTGCTTAAATTCTTACCAAATAGAAAGATTTAAGTCGTTTGGTGAAATTGTATTCATATCGCAATTTATATCGCAGAAAAACAAAACATCGCAATGTCTGATTTTTTCCAATATCATGCAGCCCTATTAGATAATCATAAGTAGGGATGTCCTGATCAGGATTTTTTGCCGTCAGAGTCCGAGTCATTTAATTTTGAGTATCTACCAAAACCGACACCCGCGTCACAAATGGCACACTATCCACTATGCACTCATGCACTATGTACTTATGCACTTACACACTCAACAGCATAGTAAATGTATGTAGTGTCGTCCCAAATGGCACGCTAATGTTTTTTTACTAAGTGGAAATTCAAACAGTTTCCCTGATGACGTTTGACGGTTGCCAAATCAGTATCAAATAAATTAAATAAACGACCGAATTATCAAATAATACCTGCCGTGAGTATAACTGCATTCACCATCGGGAGGCGCTATAATCACTCTCGTAGGAGAATTTACTTTCACTATCCAAAATAAATAAAGTTATCCAACATGTGCGCCGATAGCTCCGCCCCTTCCGCTACGTAAGCAAACCTGCGGTCGTTGAGTGCGTGAAGTGTCCATCATTACACACTTCATTTTAGCAGCTGAATGAGTGCATCATCCGGGTAATTAAAGTGCACTTATTATTTTTAGAGTTTTCAGGGTGAACACACTACTTACACTATTTATGCTACAAAATGGCGTAGAATAGTGCATAAGTATGCGATTTGGAGACGCAGCTATACTCGCGCTTTCCACTTCAAGCTGCTTCCGTGTTCTACTTTGCCGACGTTTAACCAATAGCGTCTCTGCAACAAGTGATGTCATGCTGCAAACGTTGCTGTTTCTGTGTAAGTCAAGAAAGGTCTAACTCTGTGCCACCGCATAACTATAGATGTGTTAAAAAAAGAGAATATATAATATACATATATATTGGAGTCCTAATGGGAGTTTATCCCATTCCGATCTAGTCTGAAACCGCGTGATCGGGCCCGATTTCCAATCATGTGATCGGATCTGGACATCCCTAATTATAAGTAATAATAATCAAAGCCATAAGTCTAAACAAACAAACTTTGTTCCAAATTCTTTATAGGCTAAGGATATCTTTCGCAAGTTTTCACTAACAAATGTTTTATGTTAGATGCATTTAACAACACCAGAATGAGTTTTTAAAAGGACCATTTAACACTTTTACCCATTATTCTTTGTGTCACACGGCATATGCTAAAATGTATACTGAGTTTGGTACCATTCCAATGAAGTCAACTAAATAAATAATCACCAGAGGATTAATCATTTTGCAAACAAATAGTGAAGTTTTCAGAAGACGAGTAATCTGAATATGTTGTGTACGTGTGTACAGATGCTGTGGTTCCACACAATCGATTTGTATTGGAAAGGAATTAGGCTAACTTCTTAATTTTTACAAATGTAGGTGGATTGAACATAAAGCATTTAAGTTATTGCAAACAAAAAAATCTGAAGAATTGTGTTGTTTCAGCTCATTTTACATAAGTAGTTTGATCAAACAGCAAACGTCATTTTTTTGAGTATACACTGTAAAAATGCAGGGTTCCACACAATTCCTTTATGTTGTCCCCGCACAAATCAGTTAGGTTAATTGTTTTTACAAATTTAAGTATATTGAACATTAAACAATTAAGTTGTCCCAAAAAACTCCATTAAAATAACTAGTTTGAACAAACATCTAGCCTCATTTTTTGATTTTGCATAGCACTTTTATATGTAGAATTTGGCTGAATTTCACAAATTATTTTTTACATAAAATAACCTTAATAGTAATTTATTGTTAAACACTCTCCAATATTCAAAAAGTAATACTACCTGGACTCAGAGTTATCTGATGTAATTAATACAGGGTTTTTCATAATAACATGTTAATACAAAGAACAGTTGATCTCTTAGAAACATTATGTGCTTGTCTTTTAGCACACAAATTACCTTGTAACAGCCAATGTCTCTTTTGAGGAAAGCTCAAAGGTTTGAAAATCGCAGACATTCATCTGTCTTCCCCTCTGATCATGCATATTCCCTCTTTTGTGTGTGTACTGGCACTGCTTTCCACTAGTCATCACGATTATTTTTTTTTCTGAAACCGTATCCTCTTTTCCTCTCAGTTTGAGGAGGGTGTGAGAAAGTTTCTCTCTCGGTACCTCTGCTAGCCCTTTCCCTCGCTGAGCAGGAGGCTCTGATAACATTGTGAGAGAAAATTGCTCAGACTGGAGAAATATGACACCTGTTTAGGAACATTTTCTCTGGTTTCTCTGGCCAAATCTTGGCATGGGGCCTTGATCAACCCCTACCTGCTATAAGAGCCCTGCAGTGACCTTGGGTTTTTCTCATTGTGTATATTCAGCCTGTCAAATGGGAAATATGGAGAGCTTTCATTGCATCCAGACCTCTCTTAATGCTCCGTTACATTCATTTCAATTAAATGACTCTTTCTGCTTCCTTACTGATTCTTTGCTTGTTCTACTTGATACACATAGTTTTAAAGATTAGATCAAATTTCAGCCAATTATCAGGGAAGTTATGGGTTTGGATGTCTAGTTCTGCTGAATGGATGCATTGTGGGTTTAAAGCGATGGTGTTGCTTCAGTGCTTGAGCTGATATTCGGGTCTCTTTACACCGAGCAGTCATCTGAGAGAGCTTAGATCGCGTTTCATTTATTCACGATAGACCATCGGCACTTCAGAGCTCAATTATTTCATTTACTCAAGAACATGATTGCTTTTGACTTGGCTGAGCCGGATGCTGAAATGTCTTTAAACAGAGTTTAAGATGTTTCATATTCTCAGCCAAATCCTGTTAAGGCAATTTAGTTACGTCAACATGACTTGGGGGGAAAAAACTGGGTTGAGAACTAAACAGCTTCATCAGCTGTTTAGTAAATGGCCTTTGTTAATGGTAAAACTCTGTCACAGGCTGGTCATTGTTAGACTTTATTACTGTGAGTTGAGTATTACATCGGCATAGTATGTAAACGACCTCAGGGTAAAAATAAAGTCAAAATATACAAATATAGTTGTTACAAAATGTGTATGAAAAGTATAAAGATACAATAAAGAACAGACGTTACTGAGGGCAAAATGTATGCAATTGTTCTAGAATATGCTAATTTGTATGATTTTAACATTGAT